GGATTTAATGAGATTTTCATAGAAAATATGATCTCCAAGTGGTGCGCCAAAACACCACGCCGCACTTGCAAAGCGATGGGCGTAGCGTCGGTGGGGGGAGCCGGGAATCAAAGTACGCAAACACCGAGTCTCACTTTTTTTATTCCGACAATATTATACTTTTCTTGCAATAGAGTTTTGGAAGAGAAAAGATTGAAGGTGTCAGAACGAAAGCTACCGTAATCTGAAAATTTTTTATTGTCCTGATTTGTTCTCGATTCTTGTCCATTCTCCGGCATTTTTTTTCAAATTTCTGGGCCTTTGGGCCTTGTAATAGTTAGAATAAATATTTTTAAACCAGCTAAATGAGATATTCTAGAATTTGACGAGTAGTAAAAAATGATTCTATTTGGAAAACTATGTATATCTTGTCTATGAGCAAGGTTACAGACGGAACAATCCGAAAAAAAAGGCTCGTCGCGGTACGTTCGGGCTTGGCCACTTTATGGCTTGTAACTAAGTTCATAGACAAGACAGAACTTTCCAAATAGTATCATTTTGTAGTACTTGTCGAGTTCTATCACAGCTATTTTTGCTAGTCCAAAAATATTAATTCTGACAGAAAGAAACTATGGCAGGGTCAGCGGAGGCCCGACGAAGCCCCGGTATACAGGTTTCCAAAAGTTCCAGCGTTCTTGATTGATAAATACCTCTTTCCCAAAGTATTGTTTCCCATTTGATGGAGTTCATTATCTTTAAGTGAATCTGTTTATTGGGAAAATTAAATTTTCGAGTTATGGTTGTTACGACATAAGTATCACAGAAACAAGATTGAGTATCTGATAATTAGTCACAGAATGCACAGCAAAGTTGAGCCCAGCACGTGAACAGTGAGCAGCAGCTCACACAACATTGACAGCAAGCACAGCAAGCGATGCAAGCTTCACAGCATCCGTCCGAATCACGAGTAGGTTGTGGCTGTTGTTGGACACTGAAGTTTAAAGTTTTTCCGATGAAATGATTCAAAATGTTGAAATTCTTAATTTTGATAACTATTTTTTCAATTTTTTAAAAATAAAAACGATAAATAACTCACACATAAATTGGTTGCTGTTGTCCCATTGGTTGACCATATTTTCCTGGCTGTGGCTGGACAGTGAATAGGTCAGGAGGATAAGAGGCAGAAGGATTAGCCATAGTTAAATTAACAAAGTTCCAAGAAATTGGGGGGTTTTTCTAGGAAAGCGCTAGCCAAGACTTTATATAGGACCGGGACCCTTCCGGAAAAAGTTCAACGAACCAACACAAAATACGAGGTCTCGGGATGACACAAAAAAGGAAAAGAGGGGAAGCACATTTCCAATGGCAACGTGATTTGTGAATGAAAACTACGAAAAAGAGAGAAAAGAGAGAGTAGGTGGTCCGAAAACTTAGACCATTGACTCAATAGCGTCAAAATGCTCGACCACATGACGAAATAGGTGTATGATACTGTAATTCAGGAATGCGACTGAAAAGGAATTGAAAATTTTTGACCTCAAAAAAAAAAGAAAATCAATATCTCACCTGAAAAGTTCCATAAAAATATCAATCCAAAATTCAAGACGTCCCAAGCCCCAGCGACATTTATAATGTCTATGACCAGTACCGGATGACGTTCCACTCCTAGAACAGGTTCATTTGGAGATTTATAAACCAGATGACAGAAATGAACGGTGCACACCAAGCAGCATACAGCATTGAAGAAAAATGCAACAGCGCAGATAGTTTCAGTGATCCAGAGAACCGGAACGCTTCCTTTAAAAGCTCCGCAAATCACAATGGTGTTTAGGATAAGAAAAAATAAGACACCAGAAAAGAAGCATTCGAGATGGATACTGTAGAAAATGAAATAGGATGTCAGGAGGAACAGAACGGTTGCAACGACAGAGGCTTTGTAACGGGTTGGAAATATAGGGAATTCGTCAAATTCCTCTAGAATTTCAAGATCGACTTCATCTCGTTCCGTCATTGAGTAATAGCGATTCACCAGAATTCTCAGTTTTTATAGTTTTCGTATAGTAGACAGAAAAGTTCTCTGTAATCTCGAGGGGATGTAATATTGAAGTAATATGTAGGCATGCTTGTTTTAGAGGAAACAATGAGAGATACGAAAACATATATCGGAAATTGGAGAGCGGAAAATGCAAAGATACCAGAAGGTTATAATTATAAACGTATTTTTTTTCCAGGAATTCAGATGTTTGAGTATGATTTCCAAAAACAATTGATTTTATCATAAATCTCATTAAACTATAGAAATGATTGTAACTGTGCATCTAGGTTTCTGGTTTTTCATTCCGAATAAATGTCCCACATTATTTCTATATTGACAAGATATCAAAATACAAAGGAGGAAATGGATGGATCCATTGATAACATAAAGTGACCCGCCAATATACGATAACAGATCATTGATTAAACTAACTTTTTTTTTCAATCAAAAGAGGAACATTTTAGAAAACTGACTGTATTCCGCAACTATTTGCCGTTAGTAATCTTGTGGTACACAATATTCCATTTGGTGTGGTTGCCACGAGAAAGGATACTGTCAAAGTCATGACTAGTAGTGTTGTTCTGGGAAGGGTGTAAGTTTGGTTTAGGCTGAATGAGAAAGTATATTTCTCTTTTGAACTTACTTATCCTAGTTCTTCACACTTGTCGTTGCCCTCGTCTTGCTTCTATTCTTCCTCACCTCTCAAATCAGAAGCCACGAATTGGGAGAACAACAATCGGAAGAAGTCTACTAAATGTGCCATCATAAAATCCAGCTATTTGTTGAAATTTGTTGTCTTTAAAAAAATTCTAATTGACATGTAATCATAACGAGTTTGTGAATAATCCTTCGAGACATTTTTACAGTGAAAGGGAGCTTCCCATATAAAAGCTTCTGCGACGTCCATTTAACAATGCCAACAAACAAAATGGGGAATAAAGTGGTGAAAACACCAAAAATTATGAATTTACCATGATTTGAGTTTATAAGAGAAGATATTCTGAAGAAAATTGTTGATTCAATGATCTGGAATTGTTTTCTAAACCTTGAGTTCAATGGAAATTTAATAATGACAGCTCTCAAAACAGCCGTAATTACACTAAAATAAATTGACAATTCTCTAGAGCTTGTTAGAAAACAATCCAAAACAATCTTCAGAATTCTTTCGAAATATGTTGGAGGGAGAATACTGGAATTCGCTGGTAATGGATTCCAGATAATTCCACTCCTCATCACTTGAAAAAATTGATTCTTGATATTCAGTTCAAAATTGATCCGAAAGTTGAATCATCATTTTAGTCATTGAGAAATATTACAAATTCCAAAATCCAGAAGAAATATATTAATTGTCATGGATGTCATTGATTTTCTAGAAAGTATGAAACAGAGAGTACTACAGAAAAGTTTCCTTAGTAAGAAGTAGATTGTTTCCTAAGTAAGAAGTAGATGTTTTCAAAGTTTTAAATTTTGACATAAAAACACGACAAATCATCAGAAATTGTGTGGAAAACGAGGAAAATAGGCAAAAATCAAACGAAAATCCCGACATTTTCATCGCACAAGATTACTGTATTTTAAAGGCGCATTGATGGAATCGCTATGACAAATTTTTACATGCGCCTTTGAAGTAGATTACTTTAAAAGTTTTTTTTTCGGGATTTAAATATTGAGTTTTTCTTCAATTTTATTTTCGCTGTCTGAAAAAAAGAGACAATTTTTCTGATATTTCCTTTAAACAAGTCGAACAATAAATGTGTTTGATTGTTTCGAAAAAAAAAATTATTCTCCGTTGAATAATTAAAGGTGGTCTACGGTGAAAATTTTTATTGTCTCAAAATGATCAGAAAAGCATGTAAATTGACATGAAAATAAAGAAAAAATTCAAAAAAAAATTCCTTCGTCGAGAAAAACGCATCGAAAAATACGCTGAAAGTCCTTAGGGACGAGCTTTTTTCTAGGCCGCCCGGTGAGTGGAAGCGAGCGAATTCAAACTTTATCTGGAAGAAAAATTGACAAAAACCTAGAAAACTCTTGAAAAAACCGAAAAAAAAGTGAAAACGAGCAAAAAAAATTTTAAAAGTTTGAATTCGTGCGCTATTACTCACCGGGCGGCCTAGAAAAAAAGCTCGTCCCTAAGGGCTTTCAGCGTATTTTTCGATGCGTTTTTCTCGATGAAGGATATTTTTTTGAATTTTTCTTTATTTTTATGCCAATCTACATGCATTCCTGCACATTTTGATGCAATAAAAAATTTCACCGTAGACCACCTTTAACAAAAATGCGAGACAAATGAATTGAATGTAGGTGAACGAGAAAAGAAAATTATATTTACTACAACAAATCGAACAATTGATAAAGTTCAACGTAACAAAAAAGCAAAAAAAAACAACAACAACTTAACGGAAAGAAAGAGACTTTTCAAGAAGCTTGCGCATCACTTCAAGATCCAGATCTTCGATGTTCGACGGAATTACAGATTTTATTTGTTCTTTTTTCACAATTTGGTCCATGCATATTTTCTGAAAATAAATTCCTTTCCTCTTGTCAGTATGCTTGAAATTCGATGCTCACCTTCAGGTTCTCCAGTTCATATCGAACAGCCATCATGAGTTTCTTTTTCAGCGTCTTTTTCGATTTTTCCAGAAGAAACTCCTCACATCGTCTGATTGCTGTAGAAGCATCGTACTTAACCGCCAGCAGAAGGACTCCTTCTACATTATTATCTGCAAGAAAAGGGAGTGAAAATCGATAAGTCGTCAAATTCCGTTACCATCGATAGCAGATTCTCCGTATAGAACCTCAAGGAAATAGTGGAAATCATGCGGATCGATTCCAGTGAGAGTGATTTGTGATTTATCCGACTCTGAAGAGAAGGTTCCACAAAGGAGATCTTTGAAAAATGGAGACTGAGCGGCGAGGTACTGGAAAAAAGTCAATAGTTTTCCCTCAAGCAGCGAGCTCTAACCATTTTATTAGCATAAAATTTGGTATCTCTGACAGTGAGAACAACATCAGACACATCTCTTTGAGATACATCGAACTTTCTGATTTTCTCTTTTCCCAATCCGGTCGATTTTTTAATCGTCACATGGACTTCTACGGACAAATTTCCATCCATCAAATATTTCTTTTCCATTGTTTCCCATCTCATGAATCTTCTTAGTCCCCCATATCCAGGACAGGCTTCTAAGCATTGATCAACTGTTCTGACAAAATCATCATCTTGCTTCTGATCAACAACTCTGAACTCTATTTCTGTTTCAATCGACCACTTCTGTTCCGTAGAAATAGGATTAGAGAAATCGATGAAGAAACCGAGATAATCGCCGCCTCGTCCCAAACTCATGTGCCTGAAAATCAGAATATAAAATTGTGCATTTGTTTATATGTCATTTGAAAAGCTACCAAAATCTTCCAAAATGTTCTTCTTTTTCACTCTCAGCCTCATCTTCGTCTCCAAGAGTGGCCACATTCTTGAAGACATGTTTTAGCACGAATTTTTTCTCAAACTTTTTCTGAGACTCGGATGACTGAATAGCGAACTTCTGAAAATGTGCATTTCAGATCGACGGCGCTTGCAAAACATACCACATAGTTCTCCAAATGATTGCGATTTGCCATTTGCACTTTCTTCTTCAGCGGCTTTTTAGGGCTTTTTAGACTTTTCCATAAGAAACTCCTCACATCTTCTGATTACAGTTGGAGCGTCGTACATATCAGCCAGAAGGAACACTCCTTCTACAGTACTATCTGTAAAAATAACAGTTATGAACACTCAATCATTATTGTTAACCATCGATAGCAGATTCTCCGTATAGAACCTCAAGGAAATAGTGGAAATCATGCGGATCGATTCCGGTCAGCCTGACTTCCGATTCCAAAGATTCCGAGAAGTTTCCGAGCAGAAGTGATTTGAAGAAGGACGATTGAACGGCAAGAAACTGAAAAAATGCATGAAGTACGATTTTTGTCGCTAGAATAAGTTTCTTAATAGCGGGAATTTTTTTGGGAATACTCACTTTTTTCAGGACGTAAAATTTGGTATCTCTGACTGCGAGAACAACATCGGAACAGTCTTTATTTGATTCATCAAACGTTCTTATTTTTTCTTTTCCTAATCCAGTGCTTTCAATGATTTGTACATGAATTTCAGCCGTCAAATTCCCGTCCACCAGATATTCTTTTTCCATATCCTCCCAATTCATAAAATCAGAGAATCCAGTTTCTCCCTTTTCATCGAAACAATACTCCTTAGTTTTGACGAGAACCTTTCCGTTACTACCGACGAATTTGAACAGTATTTCTGTTTGGATTGACCAGTTTTTGTCATAATCGATGGGTGTACAATAAATGAAGAGTCCGAGATTGTTGCCATCGCGATCCAATTTTATACACCTGTAATTCATTTCATGTTGCTGAAAATCGATGGGAAATGAAATAACCATTTCATATTGAAATGCTCTTCATCTTCACTGCAATTCGTTTGCTTCTCTTCAAATTCTGCAATATCTGTGAACACCTCCTTCACTACAAAACGCTTTCCGGATTCTGCCGCCATTTTTTCCTGATTCGAAGTTACATTCGAATTTATCGACTTTTCAATTGGTGCTTGTTTTGAAATTGCAGAAGTTTCGTTTTTCGAAATTTTTGAAAATGATTCTTCCACCGACTGGAGCTTTTCCGACATTTCATCGAATTTTCGCTTCATCGCTCTGATTTCTTTTTGTTGAGCATCTACATCGTCGCCGGTGTCCATACTGTTTTCTTTGCTAGCCATGACACTAAAGAATTTACATAACCGATTTTTTGAACTTTCGAGGAAATATTTTTAACAGAAAATTTTAAACATAGAAACACGACAAATCATCAAAAATTTTGTTGAAAACGAGGAAAATAGGCAAAGATCAAACGAAAATCACAAAATTTTCATCGTATCGAAGATTACTGTACTTCAAAGGAGCTGTGATGGAATCGCAGAGACAAAAATTTACATGCTCCTTTGACGCCTTGGAAGCAATAGCTACTGTGAAAAATATTTTTCCGGCTTTTTTTAATTTTCCATCAGTTTTTAAAACGTTTCATAAGTTTTATTATTGCTGTCTGAGAAAAAAAGGTTGAAACGCAGAGAAAAATGCGCCTTTAAAATACAGTAATCTTCGATACGATAAAATATTTGTGATTTTCCTTTGATTTTTGCCTATTTTCCTCGTTTTCAACAAAATTTGTGGTGTTTCTATGTCGAATTTTGAAATTTTATGTTAAAGTTATTTCCTCGAAAATCTAAAAAATCGGTTATGTAAATTCTTTAGTGTCATGGCTAACAAAGAAAACAGTATGGACACCGGCGACGATGTAGATGCTCAACAAAAAGAAATCAAAGCGATGAAGCGAAAATTCGATGAAATGTCGGAAAAGCTCCAGTCGATGGAAGAATCAATTTCAAAAATTTCGAAAATCGAAGCTCATGTAGGTTCAAACCAAGAAGAACATGAAAAATCGATAAATCCAACTGCAGCGACGAATCAGGAAAAAATGACGGCAGAATTCGGAAAGCATTTTGAATTGAAGCATGTATTCGCAAATATCGCTGAATGGTACAATGGTGATTATAAATACAGTGAAGATGAAGAGCATTTCAAGGTGAAATGGTAATCATATTTTTAACCGATTTTCAGGAAAAAAAAAAGAATTACAGCTGCATTTATATGGCTCGCCATGGCAACCATCTTAAATTCTGCATTTTTTTTCTGTGACATCGAAACCGGGCAGTCCGAACAGACGAAGACTGGTCGGTCCAAACAAAAATACAGTTCAAATTAGTCGGTTGTAACGGAAATTCCGTCATCAAAACTATGGATTATTGTGTCGAAGGAGAGGGAAAAACTGGATTCATGGATTTTTTGGAATTGAAGACTATGGAAAAAGAGTATTTGGTTGATGGAAATTTGACGGCTGAAATTCGTGTTCAAATCATTGAAAGCACTGGATTAGGAAAAGAGAAAATCAGAAAGTTTGTTGTATCTCAAAGAGAGGTTTCTGATGTTGTTCTCACAGTCAGAGATACCAAGTTTTATGTCCTGAAAACCGTAAGTATTCCCAAGAAAATTCCCTCGTTCCGATTTGTCAAAAAAAATATTCTAGCAAAAACAGTCATACTGTATGCATTTTTTTCAGTTCCTTGCTGCTCAATCGTCGTTTTTCAAATCTCTTTTCCTTGGAAACTTCTCAGAATCTTTAAAATCAGAAGTCAGACTGACCGGAATCGATCCGTATGATTTCCACTACTTCCTTGAGATTTCCACTACTTCCTTGATACGGAGAATCTGCTGTCGATGGTTAGTAATAATAATTGATAATTCATAATGTTATTTCTCCTGTTGACTGATATGTACGACGCTCCAACTGTAGTCAGAAGATGTCAGGAGTTTCTTCTGAAAAAATCCGAAAAGGCGTTGTATAAGAAAATTCAAATTGCAAATCGAAATCATTTGCAGAGATGGATGATACTGTTTGCAAAAATTGTTTCTTAGTGTTTCAAGTTTTTATCCACTAGAAATTCCTCCCGTTCATCATGAAAGATATCGCGATTTTTCGAAAAGTTTCAAAATCTGTATCTCCTATTATTTCTTGTGCGTGGTTTTGTCATCAGATTACTGCTGGCTTATATCCTATTTTGTGCAAACACCGTAGAGCTGAAATGCATATTTTTCAGAATTTGGCCAGCGAATCATCCGAGTACCAGAAAAAGTTTGGAAAATCATTCGTACTAAAGCATGTGTTCAAGAATGTGGGCAATCTTGGAGGATCTTCTGAAAGTGAAAAAGAAGACCATTTCGGAATGTTTTGGTAATTTTTCAAGTGTCATATTACTCTCGTTTAACGGCTATGCGCATTGCAGCCGAAAATACTGTTCAAAGGCGCATCGTCAATTCAGCAGCGAAGCCTTTTTTCGCTGTTGAACAGGCGGTGCGCCTTTAAACAGTTTTTCCGGCCATACCGCCATACTAGACTCATATTTAACGGATCCATAATAAGCTTTCAGGTCGATGTGTTTGGAATGGAAAGACGGGGATCTCATACTCTTTGTGGATTTCTCTAATCCAATATCTTTGGAGAAGAAGTGGTCGATTGAAACAAAAATAGAAGTGAAAATTATCGGTAAAAAGCGAAATGTCTCCGTCGGACCGACGTCTCGTTGCTTAAAAGCAAGTGGTAAAGTGGATTTCGAACGATATCCGTATTTTCCGTGTTTGGAAGAGCTAGAAGAAGGACTTTTGGTGGATGGAAATTTGTCCCTAGAAGTCTATGTGACGATTAAAAAATCAGTCGGATTGAGGAAAGGAAAAATCAGAAAGTTCGATGTATCTCAAAGAGATCTGTCTGATGTTGTTCTGGATGTCAAGGGTATCAAATTTTATTCTAGTAAAATGGTTAGAACTATTTGGTTAAGGAAAAACTAATGGTTGTTCTTCAGTATCTCGCCGCTCAGTCTTCATTTTCCAAAGATCTCTTCTGTGGAACCTTCTCAGAATCAATGAAATCAGAAGTCAGTCTAACTGGAATTGATCCACACGATTTCCAGAATTTGCTTGAACTTCTTTACGGCGAATCTGCAATCAATGGTCACGGAATTTATCGATGTATCGATTGTCTAATATCGATTCTTCCAGACAGCTCTGTTGAAGGTATCCTTCATCTTGCTGCGATCTACGAAGTATCCACAGCAACCAAAAGATAAAAGATGCTTAAAAAGAAGCTCATGATGGCTGTTCGATATAAACTGAAGGTTCTGAAGGTGAACATCGAATTTAAAGCCTACTGACGAGAGGAAAGATTTAATTTGTTTTCAGAAAATATGCCTGGACCATATCGGAAAAAAAGGAACAGATCCGATCAATGATTCCGTCGAACATCCAAGATTTAGATCATGAATTGATGAGCGTGTTTCTCGAAAAAGCGATTTCAACAAAAGCAAATGCGATCTGTTGTTTCGTCAAACCGAGTACTTGTAGATTTCTCTCAAATGGTTGATTTTTGTTTGTTCTTTGTTTCTTTGAATTTTGTCAATTGTTTGATTTGTTGTCGTATAATTTTATTCTTCTTTTTGTTATTATCCATTTGGGCCCGATTTCGTTACGAATAATTGAATAAAAATGCCGGAAATCAATGTTTTTATAGATTGGAAAGGAGAGATGATTGTCAGAAATTGTAAAATTTGAACACTGGAGAAATTTTTATCATGAATGACTATTTAAAATTTTGATTTTTATATTTCCAAGAAAAATTGCTCGTTTTTTGGGAGCCCGTGAAGATATTGTAGGCTACAGTACCCAAAAAAAAATTTTTTTAATTAACCAAAAGAATTCTTATATGCTTGAATCTTCCGAAAAATCGAAAAAAAAACGGTGAAAAACGCTCGAAAAATGATGAAACGTCTCTAATAAGGTAGTCGACCTAAGCCCCGCCCACTTTGCACGCAAAGTATAGTGGACGGAGGAACCTGGGAGATATCGGTACATCCAGAACACCTCCCTATATAATGGAAATCGTTTGGGTCGTCTTTCGATGAAAATCACGTATGCATACTACCCTAACTAGGGAAGGTTGTAATCGGGGGGTGGAACTTCGGTATGAGACCTATATAATTCGAAAGCTGAGAATGAGAGATTTTCAAATATATTCAGATTTTGCTGAGGAGCTACCAGTTTCGAGAAAATCAAGTTTCAAATGTGGCTCAAATTTGACTCTTAAGGGCGCCGCGCCTCCCCTCTTTCTTATATAGATGGGGGAAGGGAAAGAACCAAACAGCAGTGGCACAGGTCCTGGGCGCGCATACGCATAATGGATGGGCGACGGAGGACGCGCCGATGAATTGGGTACAGGGAAAGGACGCCGGTATGGGGCATATACGGGGCATATGGGGCACACCGCCGCCGCAAAGCATCTCCTCGCCTGGCTTGCTGGCACTCGATGAAATGAACTAAAACGTTGGTTAGGGGTTCCTAGAAGTATCAGTTAAGTTCTATTGTGATGTGATTTTGTTCAGTCTTCCGATTTCGTACTTTTCCTTTATTATTCCATATTTTTTTAATATTTTGAACGACATATTACTGATTTTTCGAAACTCAATGTTTTGGTTTTGAAAAAGACTTATGGCAGTTTCCATTTAAATTTGATATGCAATCAAAAACAGAAGAAAATGGGAAAAAATTCGCTAAAAATTGTTTTTTTTTTCATTTGTTCAAAAAATGTCTCACTTTCACTTTTTTTGAAATTGCATGAAAAATTGAAAATTTTTATAATTTAAACTTTGTAATTATTGTATACTTACCAACTTACCTTTTATTCCACCTGAAAATACGATTTTTACAATAATTACAAAGTGAATTCAAAAAATCTCAATATCACCTATTTTGGCGAAAAACATAGCAATTAACAAGTGAAAGACATGTTTCTGCAAGAATTCAGCGATTTTTTAGTCTGTCATAACTCTTTTTCACAAAAAACATCGAAGGAATAATCGAAAAACCAGAAATGTAGGCTCGAATTGACGAAAAATTGACAAAGTTGCCGGTGAGGATTTACGGTAAACAATGGGCGCATCCGGGATTTCGGAGTGTTGTAGTCGGCCTACCGTATCAGACCCATATCGCACACATCGCCCACCCACCCAGAATCCATCTAGGATACGCGCGCATTTGGAACACTCGATTCAGCCTCTCCCGCATCGCACACATATGAGATTCATCGCAGCTCGTTGTTCGCGATATGTGTCAAACGGACTTCTAGAGGATCGCATATGGATCGGGTCCTTTATGCGCATCATCGCCCAGGACCTGTGTGGTGTAGTGGCGAGGAGAGATGAAGAGTATCCAACCGGTTGTAGGTTCGATTCCTCTTCCCGTTATTGTTTTTTGATTTTATTTTTGGTTTTTGTGGCGATCTTCAAAATGCTATAAACGCATTTTTTTCAAAGAAAAATTTTAATTGGATACTTATTTTTTACTTTTTCACAAGTTTTGAAAAGTACTCCATAGCTTTTGCAAATTTCTTGAAGCAACACTACAAATCTTTTTTCAGTTCTTTATTTCAAAATCCACAAGATTTGTTCGTTATTGGGGTTGTAAAGTGATAAATCAATGAGAGATAATGTGAATCTATGTTTTTTTCTCAAGTTTTGAGTACTACTGGGTGATTATCGAAGAAATATGGATTGTGGGAAACATTAAAAACTCTCGATTCCGAAAAGGATAAAGCTTCCAAATATTGCTAAAAGACTTATTTTATAGTTTCTGTCTGTTTAGAATTCGTTTTACCACATTTGAAAAATTTTCGAAAAATAGTTTGAAAATGCCAAGGGGGTACCCCATGGATATTTTTCGTCAAAATTTGCTTTTCTGTAAAATCGAGAAAACTTTGTCAGATCGTAGAGGAACATTTGAAATTGTAATTACAATCAAAAAACTTTCAAAATCTTTCATCAATCATCGAATGTCTTTCTCTCAAAAATCAAAATGTAGTTTGAATAATGCTTCAAAAAAAGTTTTTCAAAGCATATAACATAAGTGTTCCATAAGTTTTAAATAAAAGAATAATCCCATAAAGTTTTCAAGTTTTTTTTTCAAAAAAAAAATTTCGCAAAAAAAATCACCATGAGGTCTCCCCTTTGCATTTGTAGATTTCGAACCTGATTTTCTCGAAACTGGTAGCTCCTCAGCAAAATCTGAATACATATTTGAAAATCTCTCATTCTCAGCTTTCTAATGATATAGGTCTCATACCGAAGTTCCACCCCCCGATTACAACCTTCCCTAGTTAGGGTAGTATGCATACTCCCTAGGGGCTCAGAAGAGATTGTGATGGAAACCCCCGAGATACATAGGGTATATATCCCGGGAATTTTCTGAGCTCTGAACGGCCTGTGTTGCAAAAAAAAAATAGATCCGAAGTATAGTTTTGGGAGAAATGTTTAATTTTCGTCGGCTTTTCGTTAGCTTTTTGTCAGCTTTTCGTCAGCAAAACTTGGCTAGAGTGCAGACAACGAGAGAAGTTTTCCAAAATTTTCACTCTGGGAGACAGTGTCGAGGAGACAAGTGTAGTCAAAGAGTTAAATGTAGTCAAAGAGTAATTGCCTAAATATCGTACCATCCTTTTTATGTTTTACTCCGACGCGTCGCGACGTTCAATAACGTTCTTATATTGTCAGACAGATATCACAAGTTTGTATACCCAACAAAAAAATTTTCGGTTTTCAGAGAATTTCTTTTGGTAGAGAGAATAATAAATTGCTGTATAACCTCAAGAGACGTTACGTTGCCAGGTAGGCATAGTAGGAAACATGTCATCAAGCATGGAAAGCTTATAACAGAGATCATAAAGTTTCTGATACATTAAACAAACAGTTAACATGCTATCATTTCACATCAAAAACCACGTCTTCTTTTGCTGTCACATCATCTGAAAAAACACAACAAGAAGAAGATTGTTTATTGTTGACTGAATTCGATGGTCACATGTAGGTCGTCTACACAGAAACATTAAGAAATAATTATTGTCAGTTCGAAAAATGACAGATCCAGGTGTTACTTTTCTTCCAAAAACCGACAATTCTATTACGGAACAGCCGAATTTGGATAGTGTAGTTCCAGTGTGGGTTTTCTTTTAGTTTTTTCTTATGATTCGTTTTAATTTTGAAATCTTTATAACTAAAGTTTCCATTTCGGTCGGTCAAAAATCGGCGATCGCCGACCGACCGCCGACCCAGCCGGTCGAATTCCCGCTTTGCGCGTTAGCATGGCAGAGAGTATCTGCGTCGAATGTCTTACAATAAAATTCCGCATCCGCAAACACTCTCCGATATGTTGACGCGCGAATACACCACTTCGGTCAGCTTGGTCGGTCGGTCGGCTAAATGGAAGCCTTAACCCCAGTTTTTTTTTTCAGAACCAATGAACGTCCAATTGATGTGCCCCAGGGACAGCTCCCGAAAGATCCGAAGGACTCAGTTTGTGTTTGCTGTAGACCGTGTTTGAATTTGTGTAGTGCTATAAGTATTTGTGGTTTATAAATCTCTTTTTTTCAAATTCTTATTTTGTTCCGATCTATTAACAGATGCTTTATTCAAAGTTGAGATCCAAAAAAAAGAGAGAAAAATGGAAATTGCCGCCAGAATGTTTTCAAGTCGTTTAAAGAATTCTGTGTTTTGTTTTAGGGGTTAGATGAAGAGTCGATCAATCATTAATAGTACTCGAATTCTTGACGCATGTGGTTAGTGTCGAGCGAGTGGAGCCAAAGGCGTTTGATAATGAAGTGCAGGATGTAGATCACTAAAAAAGTCCATATAATTTTAAAAATCGGATCTATGAAACTTACATCCGATTGTTAGAAGGCAAGCCAACTCGATCCCATATCCTGACCAGATGCCAGCACGAATCAATTCTTTTCTGCAGATGTCTCCGGTTATCTTATTGAAGATGACTCTCGACAAGAAGTTGTCCGGGCGAAGTCCTTGCTCCACCATTTTCTTGAATTCCTCACTATCAGCTACTTTCATGAGGTACTTCCGGTCGGTGGGGTCCTTGAACATTGCCTCCACTTCTAGTCTGGTGTCGTTGTCCCCGAAGACATGCAGGATTTGTTTTTTGGTATGTATGTCAAACTGCCTCTCCATCTCGGTTTGCTCCTGGTCAACCACTCGGTACTTGAAATAGCAACGGAGTTTTTCGATGAAGTAATCAGAGGTTCCCTCGTGGTTGAGTGCTCCCGACGAGCGGAAACTGGCAATGATGACAGGAAGAGCGAGGAAGTTGCAGATGTACAGAAGCATGAACAGCTTCAAAGCAAGAGTGGCCCATCGGAGGACCAACGGAGTGTTGACAATGACACCCAGTAATACCACAATGTGAACGGAGAGAATAGAATAACTGTGGTATTTGATGAGTGGATGCTGCTCGGTGACACAGTTGTAGGAGTTGCCAAGAATCATGAGGACGGTGTACACAAGAAGGATGGGACGAATGTAAGCACCCCGGTAGGTGAGCTCAGGTTTAGAGCTACCCATCCTGAAAATTGGACACTGAGGAGTGTGATACTGGTCGACGGTCCGACTCCGGACGGGCACGGGGCGGCTGATAACGCTTCAAAATTGGCTTAAAAATGCCGACCTGGACCATAATACCACTTTCGAAGCCGGTGGATTCTAATTGGAGGTCCTAGTGCTCTCCGAGCTCTATCATCTAGTTTGCTGTCTTGCTCACAGTTTCAGTTTTGAAGCGAGTTATCAGCCGGACCGGAAGCGACTCTTCGACAAGTGTGAAACACGGGGAAAGCGTGAAAAAGTAAGCTCGAAAAGTTTTCTAAATAAAAAAATACGAAAAAAGAAGGAGAAGGCGAAATGAGATGATGAGATGGGTTGGGTTGCCAAGGAGACGTTAGGCTATAATTTGAGGCGACGACTTGGAAAATAAGCTAGCGGCGCAAACATGAAAATTTGAAAAAAAAATGGAGCCAAAACGAAAATTCATTAGATGAAAGTTGAGAAATGTGCGCTTAGCCGTCTAGGGATTTTAAAGTTTACTGAAAAGTCTAAAAATTGAAAATGGATTTTCTAGAAAGTTTCAATGTTAGTTTGATTTTGAAACAAGAATCAATGAAATCTAGAAGAGTCTACAGTAACCCAAACTAAACACAGCGTCTCGAATCTCCACAATAAGAAAACCTAAAAACCTCCCAATTTTCAGCTTTCTTTTATACCGAGAGAAACACATGATATAACCGCAGTGGGATTATATAGTAACGTCTAGACTTCTCAATGAAAACAGTAATCATTTAGACGTGGAACAAGGAAGAAATATGGGTCTTCAGAATAACAAATGTGATTCATATTATTCTTCGAGAAGGATAAAGTAGAAGAAGTAGAAGAAGAAAAATGTGAAAACATGAAATTATCAGAATTCCACGCATGAGTTGGCAGTAGTGCAAAATTGTGGGTCATGTGATATAGCTATTGGTGGAAAAACAAAATTTAGATTTTGAGATACCTAGATGGATCTGAAGAATTTGAAGAGTTAGGAGGGATTCTTTATGTGATGAGCGGAAAAATGATAATGAATTTATTTCAGAAAAACGTCAGAAATTGAAGCAAGTCCATATTTCTTCCGGTAGATATTGTAGATGGTTTGGTCATTTTCAGGCATGGATTTGATGTAGTTCTCAGCATCAGTTCTATATTTGGCGATATAATTATTGGTTGTTTCTTTATCGAATTTGACCAATGGAAATTCGGAAAAGAATCTTTTGGTCAATGCATCCAATCCGTCAATACTTGCTTGAGTCATTCCAGCTGCTCGAAGCTCCGCACTTGCTTCCTCTTCTGTAGTAAAAACGTTGAGAATGGGAAAGTCCCTTGGAGGGCATCTAAATCCAGAAAATATATATAAAAGCTTACCAGTTAATGGAGCAGCAAAAGCAGAGATGGTAAGAGCGCAGAACAGGATGTAAAATAGGTTGAACATTTTCAAGTTATGATATTTTAGTTGAGGATCCAATCCTTTTATACTAGCACGTCATATTCCATATGCCGATTATTGACTCATGCAACTAAAAACTATAAAATCACAAAAATCGTTTTCAGTTGTACCTTTTCATCAAAACAAACTATGAAAGATATCTTTGTCTCTCTTCGCAAAAAGCTATTGCTTGTGATTTCTGTGTAGATCAATTTTTTCAGTAAATTTTTCAAAAATTCTCAATTCGCTACCGAACTTCGTTGGCTGAGTATCACAGTTTTAAACGATAAGCGAGAATACGCGCGTTGCAACCCGTTGATTTTTAAGAAATAGATCATGATCTAGTTCAAACCAGCGTTCATTTTAAAATTATTAAATTTCTTCTGGCCTACGAGTTTGCTGGGGCGCTTTTTCTGAGCCCCTCGCTTGAACCCAAGTGCATCCCTGAATCACAAGATATCCAAGGTTAACTATTTTGTGTTGTAAATTTAAAAGTTACATTTCTTCAAAAAGAAAATTAACACAGGCATCTTCCATTGTTTTCTGATTGTTTTATGACCACACCTAATAAGGACAACTGACTACGATTTTTGTGATTTCATAGTTTCTAGCAGGACTTCTAATATAAAAAGAATGGAGCATCAACTGAAAGATATCATAGCTTGAAAATGTTCAACCTATTCTATATCCTGTTCTGCGCTCTTACCATCTCTGCTTTTGCTGCTCCATTAACTGGTAAGTTTAATAATTTTTTAACGATAGGTGTCCCCGAACAATCCCAGTTTTGAACATTTATATTACAGAAATGGAAGCAAATGCGGAGCTACTAGCTTCCGGAATGACTCAAGGCAGTATTGATGGACTGGATGCATTGAGCAAAAAGTTCGCGACCGGATTCCCATTGGTCAAGTCCGACAAAGAAGCAACCGATAAATTCATCGCCGAGTTTAGAAGAGATTCGGAGAAGTACATCAAATCCATGCCTGCAAATGACAAAACCATCTACAGCAATTATTTGAAGAAACATGGACTTGATTAAATTTTTGATATTTTTGAAATAAATGCAATTGTTTACAATTTTCCAACACCTTTTTTGAATTCCATCATCTTTCGAGAAGTTCTTGAACTACATTTCATCCGACTTGTGAAAAAACACTGGTCGTTTGCGAATTACCTACCAAGAGCTTTCCTCTGTAGCACGTTTAACTTCCGGTTAACCTCCGAAAACCTTCATAATAGACAAATCGCGAGCTGTTATATGTTTTTGGCACATGGAAGGTGCATGAACAATTTGAGCAATTCGATTTCAAGAACTTTTTTTCTGAAACTTCCTGAATAAATTCATTGCTTATGTTCTGGTGTTCTACAAGGATTTCATCTTTACTAATAGAAATATTCAAATAATGTTGATCTACGTTCTCTACCATTAGGTCTCTGAAAAATATTCCAAAAAGCTTTTTTCAATATTTCAAGAATGGATTTTCCCGATGATTTTGATACCATGTGATATTTTCCTTTGATTTTTTTAATTTATTAAAATAGCAACATAGATACTGGGGAAAGTATTTCTCATTGTTAGGTTGCAGTTTTTCGAAAAATTATGCATTGTTTCGGAGTTTCAAGCTATTGTATCTCTGACAGTAACTAGCGAAAAACTCACCAAATCAAACAACAGAATCGGTGAGCCCAAAAGTACTCTTCCCTGAGGGGCAGAATTTGGAGAAATGATTTTCACTCTTTCTCATTCTTAAAGATGAAACTACTGGTCTAGAATATTATATTTTGAGGTACAAAGAATCGATAATCATGAATCAGATTTATTTCAAAAATCTTCAGTAATTTAAGCGAGTTCATGTTTCTTCAAATAGTTATTGCAGATGGTTTGGTCATTTGCAGGCATCAATTTGATGTAATTCTCAGCATCAGTTCTATATTTGGCGATATAATTATTGGTTGTTTCTTTATCGGATTTGACCAATGGATATTCGGAAAAGAATCTTTTGGTCAATGCATCCAATCCGTCAATACTTGCTTGAGTCATTCCAGCTGCTCTTAGCTCCGCACTTGCTTCCTCTTCTGTAGTAAAAACGTTGACAATGGGAAAGTCCCTGGAATTTTTTCGGAGGACCCCTAAAATTGAAACAATAAAAAAAAATGTAAAGCTTACCAGCTAACGGAGCAGCAAAAGTAGAGATGGCAAGAGCGCAGAAAATGATGTAGAAATGGTTGAACATGTTCAGGTTATGATATTTTCACTGAGGATCCAATCCTTTTATACTAGCGCTTCACATTCCATATGCCGATTATTGACTCATGCCACTGAAAACTTTGAAATCACAAAAAACGTTTTCCGTTTCACTTTTTCATCAAAACAAACTATGAGATTTGCTTTTGTCTCTGTCCTATTTTGAGAAGTACAAATGTCAAATTTAGACAGCAAAAAACTATTGTGTTTTGACGTCCCTCAAAAATGCCTGAGACTATATGAAACTACTTGTTTTTTGGAATTGAACATTTATATTACAGAAAAAGAAGCAAATGCGGAGCTACTAGCTTCCGGAATGACTCAAGGCAGTATTGATGGACTGGATGCATTGAGCAAAAAGTTCGCGACCGGATTCCCATTGGTCAAGTCCGACAAAGAAGCAACCGATAAATTCATCGCCATGTTTAGAAGTGATGCTGAGAAGTACATCAAATCCATGCCTGCAAATGACCAAACCATCTACAGCAATTATTTGAAGATTGATTAAATTTCTGATGTTTTTGAAATAAATGCAATTGTTTAAAATTTTCCAACACATTTTAAAAATTTCACCGTCTTTCGAAAATTTTATCAACTACAGAGCAGCAGGCAATTTTTTACTACTAGCAAGAATGTTTTCTTCATTATTGTGAAATATCACACAACACAAAAACGCGTCTCTTCCCTTCGAAATGTCGGCTGCTTGTAATGTCTCTGGTATATAAACCCCCTCGATTCTCTTCAGTTTCACTTCGGTCCGGAGTTGATGGGTTATCAATAATTGTTTCGTTTCCTGTTCGCAGGAGACAACCCCGGTTTCCTTGTGAAACCAAAACCGTTCTCTCGGGAACAAAACCTCTTCTCGTGTTCTGTTAAAGAATACATAACCCTTCCCATCAACACCAACTTGACCGAAATTTTGTTTTTTTTTTAATTCTTGTAACTGTTGAATTCAAATTTCCAGTAAAATTTACCGAATCAAGTAATCAATGACATACCTAAAAATTTATTTTTGTAATAGTGAAAAGAACCGATAATCAGAAATCAGATTTATTTCAAACACTTCAGAAATTAAGCAAGTCCATATTTCTTTAAATAGTTATTGTAGATAGTTTGATCGTTTTCTGGCATGGATTTAATAAAGTTCTGAGCATCAGTTGTGTATTCCGCAACGAATTTATCAGTTGCTTCTTTGTTGGATTGAACCAATGGGAATCCGGTAGCGAATCTTTGTGTTAATGCGGCCAATCCATCAATACTTCCTTGAGTCATTCCAGCAGCTGTTAGCTCCGCTTTTGATTGCTCTTCTGTAAAAATTGATCATTCTTCAAAAATTAAAAAAGGTTTTTACCAGTTGGATAGTTCATTGGAGCAGCCAGTGAACAGAAGACAACAGAGACGAGAAGAATAGAGAGTTGTCGGATCATGTTATTCAAGTTATGATACTTTTCGGTTTAAAGTTAAAGTCTTCATGTTTTATATCGGGACGACTTCACATTGGAACATGAAAATCTAGTACGGAAAACTATAAAATTCGTATTTAGGTTCTTTGTTTTTTTGCCAAACACATCTTCCATCAAAATACGAAAACTATGTCAGTGTCTGTTTACCCAGTAACAGTCGTCTACACTGTTTCAATATTTTGTACCTAGATAACGATGAAGTTACTTGAAAAGGAACACGAGATTTCAGGAAGTTTTTTCATAGCCATTAACTTTCCTATTTATTAGTAAAATAGCTCGAATATCATTTATTTTTGTGCGCTACCGTATCTTCCCAATTCAAGAAAAAGCACAATAGTGACTGAAATTATATAATTATTTTTCAAGTCGAGCCGAATGGAATAGTTAAGAGTCATGATTTATTTCTCCAAGTTTTATTGCATGAAGGTTTCGGAGTTTTATGTCAAAGTATAGGAACCGTTTTGATGTTTGAAGACAGGAAAATGATCAAAATGCGTTTTTTGTTTCTTTTTTTCTTTATAGCATATTCTACTATCGCTCAGAGCAACTTTACATGGTGTAGGTGATGAATTATGAATTCATATTATCGTAAATTTTCAGCGAATAAAGTTTCATCAGATCTCTTGTCCCTTGGAATGTCGAAGAAAAACGTAGAAGCTTTGGAGAAACTGTACACATCGGGCGACGAAACTAAAAACAGAGAATTTTTGCAAAAGAGAGAGCAGTTATTGAACTCATTGACTCGAGAAGAAAAACGTATCAATGAAAACTACATGAGCAAATATAAAATGGAAAATTCAGATGCGTGGTTGTTATTTTTCTCGATTGTCTCTTAAATAAATTCGATTTACCTGCACCTATATTTTTGTTGAAATGCACAACAAGTTTTTATCAATGCGTTCCCCTCTTAGAGTTTTTCAAAAATCTGTTTTATGATGAGCTCTATAAAGTGATTTTCTAGTCGGAGAGGACAGTTTTAGTAGAATAGAGATCCTGGCAATTTCAGAATCAAGTGATACATTTTGATCTAGATTTAATTATGGCATATGAAACGTGTTTCATCAAATTCTCGTAAGATGGTGGAATTTTCAAGTAGATGTAGGAAGCTACACATATGAATCAGATTTATTTAAAAAAAACAATAAAAATTTAAGCAATTCCATGTTTTTTCAATAAGTTATTGTAGGCGGTTTGGTCATTCTCGGGCATATTTTTGATGTAATTCTCTGAATCAGTTTTATAATCGGCGATGAACTTATCAGCTGCTTCTTTGTTAGATTGAACCATTGCGTATCCAATAGCGAATATTTGTCTCAATGCAGCCAATCCATCAATACTTTCTTGAGTCATTCCAGCCGCTTTCGCTCCACATGTGCTTCCTCTTCTGTAGTGAAAAATGTTTACATTGAGAAAGTCCCTGAAGTTTTGGAGGGCATCTAACATTTTTTTGAGACTTACCAGTTGTCGGAGCAGCTAAAGCAGAGATAGCAAGGGAGACGAAAAGGTAGTAGAATAGGTTGAACATGTAACTAGTAGTCCATGTTTTAATTGCCATTTTGACTCATCACTGAAAACTATGAATCACAAAAATAGTTTTTTATCTGCACTAGTTCAGTGAAAACATTAAATGAAACAATGAACTATGCCTGTCTCTCTTTCATTTTTGAGAATTATAGTTGTCAAATCTAATACGCAAAAATGGATTTTCTGTGATTCATGGATAGAACAACAGTTTTTTTTGGATCAAAAAATCAAAAAAACAGAATATATTCAGAGACTACCCGCTGGTTGAATGTTCATCTTTTCAAATGTCTGTGTGTTCCGAAAATATGAATTTTTCAGTAAGGAACACTAACGTAACCTATAGATCACGACCCCATTATGCACTTTGAGCTCAATTATCTCGATTTCTACAAGAAATATCAGAAAGCTATCAATTAACAAAATATTTAACATATCATGACATACATTTTTCTAATTGACATCTTTGTGATATCTCTTATAGTAGCAGAGATAACTGAGCTCAAATTGCAAGTCTAGAGGTGACGATATATTAGAGGCATTGATATGTTTCAAATGAACAATAATTTCTTCATGAGACTTCTCTAGCAAAAAAGTAAACAGTTTACATCAGCAGGTAGAGTTTTTTACTACTAGCAAGAGAGTTTTGTTTACACATTATTGTGAAATATCACACAACACAAAAACGCGTCTCTTCCCTTTGAAATGTCGGCTGCTTGTAATGTCTCTGGTATATAAACCTTCTCGATTCTCTTCAGTTTCACTTCGGTCCGGAGTTGATGGGTTATCAATAATTGTTTCGTTTCCTGCTCGCAGGAGACAACTCCCATCAACACCAACTTGACCGAAATTTTTGCATTTTTCTTATTTGAATGAGTCTTAAAAACAATGTTATTGGTCTCGAAAATTATAGTTTTGGGTACCAAGAATCAGTAATGTAACTGAAAGAACTCCCAGAAACACTAACTGCTAAAAGACACTATTGAAAACGATGCAGAGAGAGTGAGAGACACAGACAAACGCTATGCACTCACAGAACCTCTATGCACTCAAAGAGACCTTTGTAACCTGAAAAACTAGAAGACACTAAAACACAGAATTCCTATAAAACACTATTTATTGAATCAACAATAAATCACTATAAAATCTTCAAAACCAGTGAGCCACACTTTAACGGGCCGTCACCAATCGCGAGCGAACAAACTCAACTCAACAAAACTAAAGAAAACGATGAGAATTTGCCGAGAAAGGAGACGCGTTTTGGCGCGCACTTTATCGGATTTAACCAATTGGAATTCGGAAGAGAATCTTTTGGCCAATGCATCCAGTCCGTCGATACTTGCTTGAGTCATTCCAGCAGCTCTTAGCTCCGCATCTGCTTCCTCTTTTGTAATAGAAAACTTCAAAATGAGAAAGTCCATGGCGTTTTTTTTTTGAAGGCCCCCAAATTGGAAAAAAAATATTATACTAAAGCCTTAACAGTTAATGGAGCAGCAAAAGCAGAGAAAGAGCGCAGAAAACAACGTATAATAGGTTGAACATCTTTAAGTTATGATACTTTTTAGTTGAGGACCCAATCCTTTTATACTAGCGCTTCATGTTCCATTTGGTATTTGGACTACTGAAAAAAAAAACTATCGGATTTGACCAATGGATATTCGGAAAAGAATCTTTTGGTCAATGCATCCAATCCGTCAATACTTGCTTGAGTCATTCCAGCTGCTCGAAGCTCCGCACTTGCTTCCTCTTCTGTAGTAAAAACGTTGAGAATGGGAAAGTCCCTTGGAGGGCATCTAAATCCAGAAAATATATATAAAAGCTTACCAGTTAATGGAGCAGCAAAAGCAGAGATGGTAAGAGCGCAGAAAACGACGTAGAATAGGTTGAACATGTTTAAGTTATGATACTTTTTAGTTGAGGACCCAATCCTTTTATACTAGCGCTTCATGTTCCATTTGGTATTTGGACTACTGAAAACTATGAAATCACAAAAATCATATTTGGTTGTACTTGTTCATCAAATCAAACTATGAATTAGGTCAATGTTTTTTCCCAGCTGCTGAAAACTATGAAATCACAAGAATTGTAGTTCATTTGTAGACAAGTTGACCATGACTCGTTTTCGTAGTTTGCAACTAGATCTTGTTTAATGGATATTCTCCGCAACCCAGTTGTTTTTAACCAGAGGATTTTCAAGAATACGATGTTCCATCTTTACACAATGATCGTCATATACTCTTATTTTCATGATGATTCATGACCTTTTCGCAAGGTTCTATTTATTTACCTTTAAAATATGCCATGACTAACTTTTAATCTCGTTTCGAGAAGTGGAAAACTTTTTGAAAAACATTTTCATTGTGGGAAAAATAAATAGAAAAAAATACGAGAAGTTTTCTAACAGGTCAAAATGATTTCTGATTAATGCTTCAGGGAGAGACGGGTGGAAAGGGAGTGTGTGAGTCATGAGAAAAATATATACAATTTACGAAAAAAAAGTGAAAATGAGAGATTTATGGAACAATGTATTGGTTTCCTCCGATGACGATGTTCTCGGTGGTCTTGGCGTATTGCCAGAGGCGGTTGATGAGCACGTACTTGAGGACCTCGGCTGAAAAATTTAGATTAATATTTTTTAATAAAAATTTATGTATAATGCTTACCTCCAATCATAAGGAAGGTTCCAAACTCGAGAGCGTATCCAGAGAGCATTCCACGAACAAACATCTTCTTCTTCTCCGCATAACTCTTTGTGGCAAGATCCTCGATTTGTGTCATTGTATTGTTAGTGTCAGCTAATCCAGAAGCAGTGAAACTGGCAATCATAACTGGCCAGATCATGAACTGGATGACTGCGAGAATCACAGCCAAGAAGACAACTCTTTGGGACCATTTGAGAGCTGGCTCGTTGTTTTTAGCGGCTCCGAACAGGAGAAGAAGGTTGAGAAGAAGGAAGATCACATCGGCAACACGTTCTCCCCAGTTTCCGTAGAAGACAAGAGTGGCGATTCCACGAACAACTCCGATGAATGCAAGAACGCAGACTAGAGGACGAGCTGGGATGCAGCAGAGTTTTGGGGTCTCAACGCCGAGTGGTGGGTTGTTGTAGTCCATTCTATAAAGTATTTGATTTGAAAATGAATGATAGAGAAGAATAAGAAGAAAGAAGACTTTAAATATCGCAGAACCTAACCCAAAATGAGGAATCTAACACTGAATCAGAAAAAAAGAATGAGCAATGTTTGGTAGATGAGATTGTGGCAAAAAAAAGGAGAGATACGCGCGTCTACCCAGAGAAGAGGACATAGTCGACAAAACAGCAATGTGACTGAGAAATAGTGCTGTCGCAGAGGTCAAAGACACATTTGAAGGGAATAAATAGGGGAGACACAACGGGGTAAACAATCTCTGACCACGTCATGGCGAACAGTTGAACACACCAAACGATGGAAAGACCTGGGTTTTTATATTTACTTTTTAGGTTAAGAGCAATTCTGAGAGGCTCTCATGTCGAAATCAACAGGTTTCAGTACTAAAACTTTCGACCTAAATTTCACAAAAAAAAACATTTTAAACAGAAAACATTTTCAGAAAAAGAATTTTATGGGCTTTCTAATGATATAGGTCATGAATTGTAACTTGGAGACGTGTCCAGGTAGGTAGCCCTTGTTACAAAAGAGCAGCTTAGCCGCCAGGGGGCAGCCATGAAGCCGCCCGGACCAATCGTTTCCGAAAATAAAAAAACCCCATACAGCCTTGGAAGAAAACAAAAAGGCCGACTGAAAATTCTAGATATAAATCTTTCCTGCTATATATAGCGATGTTTCCATAGTTACTAGAGATTTGTTTTTCCCAGAGAAAAAGATTATAGAGCAAAAAAGTGTGACTGAAAAACAGTGGAACAGAACTGAAACGTTCATAGAACACAAATGAATCTTTTGTTTATCATTATTTTTCGAACGAAATGTGACGCTGAAGTATTGGGAAATACTGGGTCACAAAATAAGATAAAGTAAATTTATTTGAAAATTTTTACATTCGTATTTGAAAGATGATCCAATGAATTTTCTCTACTTTTACTGAACACTCAAATACTGGGTAAAAAGAAAAGAAGACTGCAAAAACGCATTGCAAACGTCCATCTGTTGTTTGTTGCTGGAGAATGAATGTTTTCTGGTGTTTTCGTCTTGTGTATCCCGTGGTCGACGAACCTTTCCCTCCCCCTTTCTTCCCGCCAATAACTGCGATAGAGCGCACTTGTTTATGTATCCATCGGTTTGAATGTTTCTATTGGAAGGCGTTCGAACTTATTACAAATTTATTGAAATTTATCAAACCAGTAAGAGAAAGATATGAACCGTAAAATGAATAACCGGTTGGGAAGAGAGAAATCATGAAAAGGATAGTTTTAGGCAACGACGAGTCGGTTGAATCTCATCATCTTTTTGGCCGGATAAGAACCGCCTCCGGCTGGAGCAGAAGCTGCATATCCTCCAGCATCGGCGGATGGTGCAGCTGGAGCAGCATCTGGAGCAGGAGCTGGAGAAAGTTCTGGTGCAGGAGCGGCTTCAGGTGCTGGAACCGGCTCGGGAGCTGGTGCAGCCTCTGGCGTTGGTGCTGGAGCGGCCTCTGGAGCTGGTGTAGACTCTAGAGCTGGAGCTGGAGCCGGCTCGGCAGGTGGAGCAGCACTATCGGCATAAGCGCGGGCGACTCTCCTCTTATTTGATGGGTAAGATCCTCCTCCTGCGACTGGGGCGGCAGCTGCATATCCTCCGGCATCGGCGGCTGACTCAACTGGAGCAGCATCAGGCGTTGGAGCTGGAGCATGTTCTGGTGCAGAGCGGCTTCAGGTGCTGGAGCTGGCTCAGGAGCTGGAGCTGATTCCGGAGCTGGCGCAGCATTTGGCGCTGGTGGAGCGATTTCAGGAGCTGGTGGGGCTGGTGGAGCAGCGCTATCGGCATAAGCGCGGACGACTCTCCTCTTCTTTGATGGGTAAGATCCTCCTCCTGCGACTGGGGCCGCAGCGGCATAGCCACCAGCATCGGCGGCTGGAGCGGCTGGAGCAGCATCTGGAGCTGGAGCTGGGGCAGGTTCCGGTGCAGGAGCGGCTTCGGGCGCTGGTGCTGCCTCTGGAGCTGGTGCTGCCTCTGGAGCTGGTGCTGCCTCTGGAGCTGGTGCTGCCTCTGGAGCTGGTGCTGCCTCTGGTGCTGGAGCTGGAGCAGCTTCAGCAACTGGTGGGGCTGGTGGAGCAGCGCTATCGGTATAAGCGCGGGCGACTCTCCTCTTATTTGATGGGTAAGATCCTCCTCCTGCGACTGGGGCGGCAGCTGCATATCCTCCGGCATCGGCGGCTGGTGCAGCTGGAGCAGCATCTAGAGCTGGTGCTGGGGCAGACTCTGGTGCAGGAGCGGCTTCAGGTGCTGGAGCTGGTTCGGGAGCTGGAGCTGATTCCGGAGCTGGCGCAGCCTCTGCGGGTGCAGATGAAGCAGCTGCACCACCTCCTGCAGTATATCCCGATCCATCGCCTCCACCACTTGCATAGTCACATTGAACAAAGAAGATCAAAGCAGAAGTAGCCAAAATGAAGAGAAGATTCATGTCTGGAAAAACTTTAATCAGAAAAAATATTTTTAAAAAACTTACTGTCGAATTTGTTTAGAAATGTGAGAAGAGAAGATGAGTTGATACTTCTCTATCCGAAATTTTCACTTTATATACTGAAAGCCTTCCATACTGTCAGAAACACCTAAGCAATATGAAACAGGATGGAAGGGGTGGAAGGTGTAAGAAGTAGCAAAAACAACATAAATCAGAAATTCAGAAAAACAGAGCGAAGAAGCATAACGAAAATAATAAGGTGGCAAACATGAAAGATTTATTGTTTTTTTTTTTGAAATTTGAGAAAATTGAGAGAGCAGCTTAACGTATACTATGCAGGTATCCTAGGAGTTTTTGATTTTCAGATTCTGGGCATTTTACAATGAAAAATGAAGCGAGAATGTTCCGTTAATTCTTGATTTTTATTTTCCCTGAAACAGTGAACTTCGGTCTACTCAACATATTTTATTATATGTTGAATTTTTTCGAGTACCAGGAACCTTCATTATCATATCCTGATTTATCCAATCTCATTGTTTTTGTCTAGTCTTCACATGTCAGCCAACATTCCTTCTCGAAATTCCTTCATCGTTTTCATTTTTTCACAGTTTTTTATTGTTTTACACTAGTCTCACTTCTTCGTTTTTACAATGAAAAAAAAACAAAGTAGCACAAAAACAAGTTCCTTGTTGAGAAGAAGCAGTATAAAAGACAGACAGACATCCAGAACGACACTTCAGCTTCTTCCATTTTCTCCATCAGTTAGCCTTTATAAAAACAATTCTAAAAGATTGATAATTTCCAGAAATGAAGCTGTTTTTCTTCATGACTGCTACCGCCTTGATCTTCTCTGTTCAATGTGAATATGCAAGTGGCGGAGGTGGTGGAGGATCCGGATATTCAGCAGGAGGTAGTGGGGATGCCGCTGCTCCATCTGCACCTGCAGAAGCTGCTCCAGCTCCAGCCCCTGAACCTGCCCCAGCACCTGAAGCCGCTCCTGCACCAGAACCTGCTCCAGCACCAGCTCCAGATGCTGCTCCAGCTGCACCACCTGCCGATGCCGGAGGTTAGCCGCTGCTCCAGCCGGTGGAGGATCTTACCCATCGAAAAAGAGGAGAGTCGTCCGCGCTTATGCCGATAGCGCTGCTCCACCAGCCCCACCAGTTGCTGAAGCTGCTCCAGCTCCAGCACCAGAGGCAGCACCAGCTCCAGAGGCAGCACCAGCTCCAGAGGCAGCACCAGCGCCCGAAGCCGCTCCTGCACCGGAACCTGCCCCAGCTCCAGCTCCAGATGCTGCTCCAGCCGCTCCTGCAGCCGATGCTGAAGGTTATGCCGCTGCCGCCCCAGCGGCAGGTGGAGGATCCTATCCTGCCAAGAAGATGATGAGATTTTCCCGAATCGTTGCCTAACTTTCTCCTTTTGTCTTTTTGATCTTCCCATTTTCACTGGTCCATTATTTTCTTACGAGTTCAACCTTTCATGAAATAAATATATTCATTAAAATTCTGTTGACGATTTAGCAAACGAAGTTATGACAAATATTTTGTCAGATTACAGTATGTTTGTGTTTCTCATTTGAAATGTTACAGTGAATTTTAAAAAATATATTTTCAGAAAACATAAACAGAATATTTCTACTCAACCAGCGGGAATCCTTATTATGTGTTTTTTCATTTTTTGTTTCAAAAAAACCTATATATCCATGAATCACAGTAAATCCATTGTGCGGTCGACTTTTGACAATTGTACTTCTTAAAAAAGAAAAGAGACACAGACATATTTCATAGTTCGATTTGATGATCTCACTGTACAAGTACAAATAAATACGATTTTTGTGATTTCATAGTTTTCCGTGGCATGAGTCAACAATTGGCAATTCGATCATGGGATCCTAGTAAAAGGATTGAAACTTCAAACAAAAATCATCACAACTTGAACATGTTTAACCTATTCTACTTCTTTTTCTGCGCTCTTGTTATCTCTACGTTTGCTGCTCCAATGACTGGTAAGTCTTTTAGAACTCAAAAAATTTGGTGTCCCTCAAAAATTTTCTGACTCTCTCATTATGAACATTTTCACAACAGAAGAGGAAGCAAATGCGGAGCTAAGAGCTGCTGGAATGACTCAAGCAAGTATCGACGGACTGGATGCATTGGCCAAAAGATTCTCTTCCGAATTCCCATTGGTTAAATCCGATAAAGAAGCAACCGATAGTTATATTTCCAAATATAGAACTGATGCTGAGAAATTTATCAAATCCATGCCTGAAAACGACCAAACCATCTACAACAACTATTTGAAGAAACATGAACTCGCTTAAAGTTTTGTTTTTTTAAATAAATACAATCATATACTGCAAGCTTCTTTAAATTTTTCCATTTTGTAGAATTTCATCGATTGCATTTTACCCGCCAGGTTGAATGTTATGTCAAAGATTTTTTCAAACTAAAAAAATTAATTACGAATTTGTTGAAATTTATCAAATCAAACCAGTGAGAACAAAAAATAAACCGTAAAATGGATAACCGGTTGGAAAGAGAGAAATTATGAGAAAAATGATTTTAGGCAACGACGAGTCGGTTGAATCTCATCATCTTTTTAGCTGGATAAGAACCGCCTCCGGCTGGAGCAGCAGCTGCATATCCTCCAGCATCGGCCGATGGTGCAGCTGAAGCAGCATCTGGAGCGGGAGTTGGAGCAGGTTCTGGTGCAGGAGCGGCTTCAGGTGTTGGAGTCGGCTCGGGAGCTGGTGCAGCCTCAGGCGTTGGTGCTGGAGCGGCCTCTGGAGCTGGTGCAGACTCTGGAGCTGGAGCTGGAGCCGGCTCGGCCGGTAGAGCAGCACTATCGGCATAAGCGCGGACGAATCTTCTCTTCTTCGATGGGTAAGATCCTCCACCGGCTGGAGCAGTGGTTGCATATCCTCCGGCATCAGGGGATGGTGCAGCTGGTGCTGGAGCTGGAGCAGGTTCTGGTGCTGGAGCGGCCTCAGGTGCTGGAGCTGGTTCGGCTGGTGCAGCCTCTGGAGTCGGGGCTGGAGCTGGTGCTAAAGCGGCTTCAGCAGCTGGTGGAGCAGCAATGTCAGCATAAGCGCGGACGACTCTCCTCTTCTTTGATGGGTAAGATCCTCCACCCGCGGCTGGAGCGGAAGCGGCATAACCTTCAGCATCGGCTGCAGGAGCGGCTGGAACAGCATCTGGCGCTGGCGCTGGAGCGGCTTCAGGTGCCGGAGCCGGCTCGGAAGCTGATGCAGTCTCTGGCGCTGGTGGAGCGGCATCAGGAGCTGGAGCCGGCTCCGTTGCTGGAGCAGCGCTATCGGCATAAGCGCGGACGACTCTTCTCTTCTTGGCAGGATAAGAACCGTCTCCGGCTGGAGAAGCAGCTGCATAACTTCCAGCATCGGCGGCTGGTGCGGCTGGTGCAGACTCTGGTGCTGGGGCTGGGGCTGGAGCTGGAGCCGCGTCTGCGGGTGCAGATGTAGCATCCCCACCACCTCCTGCAGAATATCCGGTCCCTCCTCCACCTCCACCACTGGCATAGTCACAGTGGACAGAGAAGATCAAAGCAAAAGCAGCCAAAATGAAGAACAAATTCATTTCTGGAAAGTATCAAATGGATAGAAAATTCGAAGTTAACTTACTTTTGTTTCTAAGAATGGAAAACGAAAATATGAGTTGATACTTTTCTATCAAAACACTTCACTTTATATACTGAAAGCATTTCATACTGTAAGAGACACCTAGACAAATCGAAACAGGTTGCGAAGGGGTGGAAGGTGTAAGAACTAGCAAAAACAACATAAATCAGAAATTCAGAAAAACAGAGCGAAGAAGCATAACGAAAAAAAAAACGAACAGTCAATCATGTAAGATTCATGTGTTTTTTTGTTGAAAATTTGAGAATGAAATAGATGCATAGCGTATAATGTACAAAAATTTGAGGAACCCTGGATATTTTGAAAAATCGGAGAATCCAAATAAATTATGTGGAAGGAAATTGGAAAAGAATAGCGAATTTTCAGATTCTCTACGTTTAACTACAAAACGCCGGACATTCGTGCGAATTTGAAATAGTTACAGCATGCAGAACGTACGCAACTTGATTTCAGAAAATCACAGTTCAGTATTCCGGGACTCCCTGTGCAGTAAACTATTGGTTTCCTTTTCTCCGAAACCATGACTTTCCATCTACTCAAACTATTCTATTTTATAAAGGGGTTTTTCGAAATCAGGAATCCACATATTCATACTGATTTATACAGTCATCTGAAAATCCTTCCCAAAATTTCTTAATCATTTTCATTTTTCACAGTTATTTTTTGTTTTACACTAGTCTAAAGTCTCCATTTTCATAACAAAAAAAACAAAAGTAGCAAAAAAAACTAGTTCATTGTTGAGAAGAAACAGTATAAAAGACAGGCAGACATCCAGAACGACACTTCAGCTTGTTCCACTTTCTCCATCAGTTAGCCTTCATAAAAACTGAGAGTTTTCAGAAATGAAGCTGTTTTTCATTTTGGCTGCTACCACCTTCATCTTTTCTGTCCACTGTGACTATGCCAGTGGTGGGGGCGGAGGATCCGGATATTCTGGAGGAGGTGGTGGGGATTCTGCTCCACCATCTGCTCTCGTAGACGCTGCTTCAGCTCCAGCCCCTGAACCAGCACCAGCTCCTGAAGCCGCTCCAGCACCAGAGCCTGCTCCAGCACCAGCTCCAGATGCTGCTCCAGCTGCACCAACCGCCGATGCTGGAGGCTATGCAGCCGCTGCTCCTGCCGGTGGAGTATCTTACCCATCGAAGAAGAGAAGAGTCGTCCGCGCTTATGAAGATAGTGCTGCTCCACCAGCTCCACCACCTGTCGAAGCTGCTCCAGCTCCAGCTTCAGATGCTGCACCAGCGCCTGAAGCTGCACCAGAGTCTGCACCAGCTGCGGCACCTGAAGCCGCTCCAGCTGCACCAACCGCCGATGCTGGAGGCTATGCAGCCGCTGCTCCAGCCGGTGGAGGATCTTACCCATCGAAAAAGAGAAGAGTCGTCCGCGCTTATGCCGATAGTGCTGCCCCACCAGCCCCACCAGCTGTGGAAGCTGCTCCAGCTCCAACGTCAGAGGCTGCACCTGCTCCTGGACCAGCGAAAGTAGCTGAAGTCGCTCCAGCGCCAGAGCCTGCTCCAGCTGAACCTTCCGCCGACGCCGGAGGATATGCTGCTGCCGCCCCAGCGGCAGGTGGAGGATCCTATCCAGCCAAGAAGATGATGCGATTCTCTCGAATCGCTGTCTAATGTTCTCATTGTATCTGTTTCTTTTTCTATTTTACTGGTTCTTTCTATTTTACTGGTTCAATACTTTTTTACGAGTTCAACTTTCCATAAAATACATATATTCATCCAAATTCAGTTCACATACGATTTTGGAAAGTTTGAAATTTACTCTTGCAAATAGTTGTGGAAACGGTTCGCGATCTGATAGGTACGGAAAAATTCAAACTTTCAAAGCATTTTGACCGACGAAAAACTCAGTTTTACAATCAAACGAATTTCCGAATCTGTGGTACATTAAATATACTGTAGTCGATCTGACTCTCATTCAAAACTTGTAACGATTTTAAAGTGATATCTTCTTTGAGATGATTTACAAAAAGAACAACTGGTTTTCGGAATATTTTATGGGTTTTTCTCTGTTCACTGAGTGTTCGCGAGTTGTCATATCGAACTTCGTAATCTTTCTGAATACTACGAGATTTTTTCCCATATTGTTTATTTCTTCACCATCGTTTTGATAACCTCAAACTTTCCATTTGAAAACAAAGTATCATTATTTCCATATGACTTTTGTTGACTTTTTAGGAGCATAGTCAGCAAATGACTCTTATCAATACTGAATTTGAGGGTAAATAGAAAAACGGCAATGCAGTTGTGTTACTTTTTTTGTGAAAATGGGCAGTTATATCGGAAAAACTCCCACTGAGCTAGAAATGGCTGGAAATGAAGATGAAGAAGACGCTCTTGGATTCAAATTGACTGTTTTGAGGTGGGTTCTCGAAATTCTTGAGTATTAAAATTTAATTCAAATTAGAACTGTTTCCAGAGATGCAATGATTCATTTGAGAGTTCAATTTCTTCATTTTCAAAGTTTTTATGAAAAAGAAGGGCTTGAAAACATTGGGAATGATTTGAAGGCAATGAAGATTATTCTGATGGTGGTGCAGAACAAGATTGAGGAATTGAAATCTATTATTCCGGAATACTTAGAAATCAAAAATATCGGAATGGTGAAACAGAAAATAGAAGATTTCGATTTAGTAGTTACTGAGATTGTTCTGGAAATGAAGGAGTTTGAGGTGAGTGTAATAATGTAGTTCTTCGAAAGAAATTTTCATCCCAGAGAGATAATTTTCTTATGGAGAAAGTGGAAAAACTGATAAACAAGTTGAACCCATTCGACGTTCCTAATTTGGAAACATTGGATCAGGAATTGAGTCCGAACGAAATGATGAAGACGATTATGAGTAAAAGTGCCAAAAAGCAACAGGATAAAATGAATAAGGAGACCATACAAAATGATGTAACATAAAAAATATTTTAATTTTCCCAAAAAAGTGTTTTCTAGGAAGAGAATGAAGTTCGACATGACAACTCCAGAATACTCAGTGGACAGAGAAAAATCTACAAAATATTCCGAAAACCAGTTGTTCTTTTTGTAAATCACCTTGAGGAAGATATAACTTTGAAATCGTTACAAGTTTTAAACGAAAGTCAGATCGACTACAGTATCTTTGATGTTTCCACAGATTCGGAAGTTCGATTGATAGTGAAAGTAAGTTCATCTTCGTTTGATATGTTTTGAAAGTTTAAATTTTTTCAGTACCTATCAGATTGCGAAACGTTTCCGCAATTATTTGCAAGAGGAAATTTCGAAAAATTATCAGATATTGATAGTCTTATTACTTCGTTTCCTAAATTGTATGACAACGGAATTTGAATGAATATATTTATTCCATGAAACGTTTAACTCGCAAAAAAGTATCGGACCAGTAAAAATGGAAAGATCAAAAGAGGTAAAATGAGGAAATTAAGCAGCGATTCGAGAGAATCTCATCATCATCTTGCTTGGATAGGATCCTCCACCTGCCGCTGGGGCGGCAGCAGCATAACCTCCAGCATCGGCTGCAAGAGCGGCTGGTGCTGCATCTGAAGCAGGTGCTGGAGCAGGTTCTGGTGCAGGAGCGGCCTCTGGAGCTGGAACCGGCTCGGCTGGTTGAGCAGCCTCTGGCGCTGGAGCTGGAGCGGCTTCAACAGGTGGTGGGGCTGGTGGAGCAGCAGTGTCGGCATAACCTCGGACGACTCTTCTCTTTTTAGCTGGATATGATCCTCCTCCTGCAGCTGGAGCGGCGGCTGCATATCCTCCGGCATCAGCAGATGGTCCAGCTGGAGCAGCATCTGGAGCTGGTGCAGGAGCGGCTTCAGGTACTGGAGGTGGTGCAGCCTCTGGTGCTGGTTCTGGTTCAGGAGCTGGAGCTGGAGCCGGCTCGGCTGGCGCAGATGGAGCAGAAGACTCCCCACCTCCTCCTGCAGAATATCCGGATCCTCCTCCTTCTCCTCCACCACTTGCATAGTCACATTGGACAGAGAAGATCAAAGCGGCACCAACCAAAAGGAAGAACAGCTTCATTTCTGAAATTTTTCAACTGATGGAGAAAGGACGTAGAAAATGGAAGAAGCTGAGGTGTCGTTCTGGATGTCTGCCTGTCTTTTATACTGCTTCTTCTCAACAAGGAACTTGTTTTTTGTTACTTTTTTTTCGTTGTGAAAATAAAGGAGAGAAGTGTAAAATAGTAATAAACTGTGAAAAATGAAAACGATGAAGGAGTTTCGAGAAGGAATTTCCGGGGGATTTTTTAGAATAAGAATGAGATTGGGCAAATCTGAACATGAGTATGTAGATTCTTGATTTCCAAAAAGCCATGTTTTTTAATGTTTTGCTTTGTTTGGTAGGGGAACGTCCAGGATCTGATAATTCATCTATTCTGCTTTCAATTTTTGCTGTGGCACTGATCAATTTTCCTCTCATATAATTTCTTTAAGTTCCCAATTAAAAATATCCAACACTCCTCAAATCTTTGTACAGTATTCTCTAAGTTTTGCTTCTGTTTCATTCTCAACTTTTCAACAAAAAAAACCATAAATTTTTTTATGTTTGACTGTTCATTATTTTTGCCTGGTTTTTTTTGCATTATTTTTTCTTCCTAAGTATTTTTTGAATTTCTGATTTATGTTGTTTTTGTTAGTCACACCTTCTACCCCTTCCAACTTGTTTCATATTGTCTAGGTGTTTCAGTGTGGAAGGCTTTCAGTATATAAAGCAACATTTTTCGCTTGAAAAGTATCAATTCATCTTCCCTTCTTTTTTTCTGAAATACTGAAAAGTAAGCTACCTTCGGATGCTACTTGTAATCAACATTTTCCAGACATGAAACTTCTCTTCATTTTGGCTACTTCTGCTTTGATCATCTCGGTCCACTGTGACTATGCAAGTGGCAGAGATGGAGGAGGATCGGCATATTCTGCAGGAGGTGGTGGGGATGCCGCTGCTCCATCTGCACCTGCAGAAGCTGCTCCAGCTCCAGCCCCTGAACCTGCCCCAGCACCTGAAGCCGCTCCTGCACCAGAGTCTGCCCCAGCACCAGCTCCAGAAGCTGCTCCAGCCCCCGAACCAGCAGCAGCTCCCGAACCAGCTCCAGCACCTGTACCTGCCCCAGCACCTGCTCCAGATGCTGCTCCAGCTGCACCACCCGCTGATGCCGGAGGTTATGTCGCTGCCGCCCCAGCTGCAGGAGGAGGATCATACCCAGCTAAAAAGAGAAGAGTCGTCCGCGCTTATGCCGATAGCGCTGCTCCATCAGCAGAGCCAGCTCCAGCGCCAGAGCCAGCACCAGCGCCTGAACAAGCTCCTGCAGCTGAAGCTGCTCCTGCACCAGAACCTGCTCCAACTCCAGCTCCAGCACCAGAACCTGCTCCAGCTCCAGCTCCAGATGCCGCTCCAGCCGCACCATCCGCTGATGCTGGAGGATATGCAGCTGCTGCTCCAGCTGGAGGCGGCTCTTATCCGGCGAAAAAGGTGATGAGATTCAACCGACTCGTCGTTGCCTAAAAGTATTCTTCTCATGATTTCTCTCTTTCCATCCGGTTATCCATTTTACGGTTCATAATTTCTTTTCACTGGTTCTTTAATTTTCCATAAATTTGTATTTAATTTCATTTTCTAGTTGGAATAGAGAAAATAGAGAGACGAATGATTAAATTGAGCCATACATCTTCTCTGCTGTGAATATGAAAGTGGCGGAGGTGGAGGAGTATCTGGATATTGTTCATTAGGTAGGATTTCTTTCTCTCCATCTGCACCAACAGATGCTGTTTTCCAGTCCCTGAATCCTAGGTGTGCTGGTCCAGCCGTACCATCCGCCGGGAGATAGGCCGTTGCTTCAGCCGCAGGATGAGAGTTGATTTGTTGAGGGTGACAACTTTCCAGAACCTAAAGACGCTTTTCAAGAGATGTGGATGTTTTTTCTCTGACAGACGGACCTTTTTATTTCCAAACGACATCCGAGAACGCCAAAGACCTTCGTTTTAGGATAGAGCCAAGAAATCAACGGTTATTCTCTTAGTGATGAAACATAAATTTATTTTTGAAATAATAATTCATCGTACAAAGCTCAATTCATATAACGTTATTCTGAATAAATCTGAAAGACTGCTTCACCAACTTCTCTCAGTCCATAATTTTTTCCATTTTTCAATAGCCGGGTTCGATTGGATTCCCAAAGATCGAGGAGAAGAAACTCGTAACACTTTTCTCCCGGACGGAGGTCTACCTGAAACTTTTAGATTTTTTTTCGTGTCTACGGATAAGCTTAACCTTGATTCCCAGTAATAAAAGTTCGCCTTTACACGAATTATCAAAACCAAAAGTGAGGTTCTTGCCCGTTTCAATTTGATAAAAACGGCAATGTCCAGGTATGTAATCAAATGCATAACAATCAGGATTGGTTTGACACATTCCACCACAATGAGCTTCTTTTGTTGGGTCCACAGATACTTCTAGCAATGGTTTTGCGTCATCCGTGAATCGCATTGCTTTGAAAAAGTTCAAGGTACAATCTCCGCCCCAAGACGAAGCATCTGTTGTCACTTTTTAGGCTTCCAATAAGAAAAGATAAGAGAAGAACCTCGAATATGTTCATGTCGGAACAACTGCAGTTCCTTGAAACTCTTGACTGTTATAAGCCTGGTTTTCTCAAGGATCATGAAATATTGGAAAGTCCCACGAGTTATCGGTTCGCGTTTTCTCGAACAAGGAAGAATTCATCTTCTCGGAAAAACAAGCCGGAAAAGACTTTCCGGTAAGAGAAAGCAGTTGATCAAAATTTAAAAAATCTCTAGTTGTGAGAATTGTCGATCCTTCTGTTGTTGTGGCCAGTTGAGGATCGTCAATTATTAGACCGATCGATGTCAAATTCTGGGCCAAACCTGGTCGACGAGCACTGCACGAGGCCTCGGTCTGAACTTTTTTCAGGTTAAAAACATAGACTATTGGGCTTACCGAACCGAGAAATAGCACGAGAAGAAGTATGTGAAAGTGAAACATCACTGGACAGGGACGTTACGAAATTATACTTGTTCATCTCTTTTAAACAACATGAAGTGTCATAGGTGATAACAATTGGGAAAATCTCACAAGATATAGTTGCAGGTAAAAAGATTTTGATTCCTTTTTAAGATGTCTTCTTGAGAATCATGAAAAAAAAAACTAGATTTCAATCTTTATTCAAAAAAAAAGGGGAGAATTATAATTGTGCCCTAAAAAACTCAATGTTCGGCCACCATGATAAATTTGTCTAGGAAACACAATAGTTCAATATAAGCTCATTTCTAGGTTACACAAGATGGTGGCCTAGAAAACTCAACCTGGAAAAGTTAGGCCATCGTGAAAAACTGTCCAGAAAACACACGTTCATGTTAGAACATTTCTAGAAAACCAACTACGTAAGGTTCCGTTTCAAATGTTTCATTTATGAAAATACGTGAAATTTGACACTTTTGATTAATCAAATTGCTCAAAAAATTTTTTTTCAAGGAAAATAATCATCAAAATAGTCAAATGTTTCAAATTTAAAAAATGAATCGTCAAAAGAGTCAAACGTGGCAAATGAAAAATAGTGAAAACTAAATTTCGTAAAATGCTTCAAAAGAGTCGGAAGTTTCGGACAACTTCGAAAGTTACCAAAAAATGCAGTAGTATTTTCAAACAGGCTGATTGAAATTCTATTATTATTCACCGGAAGGCAGAATGCAGGATCCGCAATCCCGAACACGGGGCCCTCAATCCGGAATTCAGAATCCGGAATTCGGAATTCGGAATTTGGAATTCGGAATCCAGAATCCAGAATCCCGAATCCGGAACACGAAATTCGGCATCTGAAATCCGAAATACGGATTTCTCAATCAGGAATCCAGAATACGTAATCACGAATCCAGAATCGCGAATACTTGATCTTGAATCCGGAAAACGGAGTCCTCAATCGGGAATACGAAATCCGGAATTCGGAATCCGGAATCCAGAATACGTAATCACGAATCCAGAATTGCGAATACTTGATCTTGAATCCGGAAAACGGAGTCCTCAATCCGGAATACGAAATCCGGAATCCAAAATCCGGAATTCGGAATCCGAAATCAGGACATCTCTGCTCCTCACTACAATAAAACTTTTCGTTGTTTTGTAATATTCAATTTGCATTTCAAAAATCATTCGACTCTTTTGAAGCATTTAATATCATAATTGACTAACGTCAATAAAAATTTATTTGAGTCTTTTGACAAATGACTCTTTTGACTTTTTGATTATTTTGAGGCTTGAAAATTTATGATTTTTGGGTGAGAAATTTTGACGAAAAGTCAACTTCTCTTCAAAAGTTTCAAAAAAAAAACATTTGAAATGGAACATTACAACTACGATCGAAAACTCGTTCTAAAGTTTTTTTTTTTAAATCGTTCAAATGTACACGATATCGTTCACTGATTTTTTTTTTCAAAATCTGAGGCCGTATTCATGAAATGTACTTTTGTAAATAATTTACTCTCAAAAAATCAACTGAATCATTTACCAAAAGGTAAATGGAAGCGGGAAAATGTACTGAACTCTTTTTCTCATTTGTAAATGATTTTCCTGTTTTTTAGATAGGAAAACGACTTTGAACTAGAATTTCTCAACTACTTCAAACTGAAAAATGTTCATTTTTTGACATATTATTATAAATTGAATGCTCTATCCATTCATGTCATCAGTATCAAAAGTCATAATTTTCGAGTTGAATGGAAGCGAAATATGTGTTTAAAGTTAGATAATATTCATGTTACAACACTATTCTTTCTATACATAACTGTTTTGGAATGAAAAGTTTCCAAAAAGTAGTAGTAAACAGCAAACGAAATTAGTACCCCTATTTACCAAAAAGTAAATAATTTCTCTTCCATTTTCTCGTTTTTCAGTTGATTTTTGAGAGTAATTGATTTACAAAATTAAATATTCATGAATACGGCCCTTGAGTTTCTAATTTAGGTAAATTAAACAGCAACCAGTGGAGACATAATTCCAAATTTTCAGTGTTCCAGTTAAGAAAAACAAAAGTTTCAACATTTATTCGACTATCTGATGAACTAGTGAATAATCAAATAATCGAAAGAGCACGGTAAACATAAATAGACACTGGAACCGAAATAATAAACCAAATAAAAGAGAAAATAACGATTTTAGAGTAAGAGAGATCCTTGGCCAAAGATTGATCTACGATTTGTGCGTTTTCTTGTGGGGCCGTGATTTCAGAAGCAGAACTATTCTCAACTTCTAAACCTTCCTTGTCACTTTCCTCTGTAGTGACGTCGTCAGACATATCTTGAGCTTCGGAGTCGTCTTCTGAAGAACCACCGTCAGATTCACCGTCAGATTCCTCATCTTTTTCCGGGGTGTTTGGTTTGGGAATGAAGTTGGGACCACTCAAGGTTCCAGCAAAAGTTTCAATCATTGACTCTACAAATCTTCGCTCTCTTTTTTGTTCTTCCACCGCTTTCGCTTCTTCCTCATCAAGAATTTCTGGCTCCTGAAATAAAATTTGGTTGCTATAGCCTATAGGCAATAATTCCCTATAATCACCTCTTCCATATGTGGATTGATATTTCGGAATCCCCATGGTCTGTATTTAATACCCTTGTTCTGCTCCTCCATCTCTTTCAACTTCCTTTTCTCAACTCTCATTTCCGAGTCCATACTTTCTTTTGTCAACGTTTCACTGTCTGCATCAGGAGTTTCAGTCCATTTTGGTTCGTGGAAAATGCGACGAGTGATATTCGAGTAGTGCCAGTAGTCAAATGGATTTGCACACTTTTTACAGAACTGCCCGATTCCGCAAGTCTCTTTCTGAAATTCAGGAAGTTAACATTGCAGTGGAAAAACTTTTCGATACTTGAAACAGTTCCAGGAATTTGTTTTCGTGATCCGCTAGTACTGCATAAATGAAAAATCCACAAGATGACTTGTTGAAACGAAAAACATATGCACCATTTTTTCGAGTAAACCTTTTCATTGTTACTTTTTCTTTGAGCCTGGAAATGTTTAATAAATGTATAGAAATCCGAAATTCTTAATGAACCAACTTTTGAACAGGCACATCCAACAGATCAAAGTGTTCTGACGCTCCCATTCCAAGATCACGAATAGTGTGGAAGACATATTCACCATCTGAAGGTTCCGCGTCCAATGCTGATTCTAAAGTCTCGAAAATGCTTGCAACCCCGGCGCAATCTCTCATTACAATTCCGGATAAAACTGGAATAAAAAATAAGGTGATTTCAAATTTCCTTAAATGCATTTTTTTTTCTGTATCATTTACCTGACAAGTGTTTCTCCCCGTTTCTAATCACACTCGTTTCCGATACCATTCTTGGGTTTTGCCATACATCATTCATTACTATACCAACTCTCACCACCTTCTCCAGAACTGACTTATCACACACAATTTTGAAAAAAAGGAGGTGACTGTCCGGAGCTCCAAGAACTTCCACGTTTCTGACACGAATTTTAGGCAAAGCGTCCAGACTGGTAACGAAAAAGTTGTTCGTTCTGCGAAACTCGTTAAACATCAGTTCACATAACATTTTGAATTGGTCCACATTGTTCCATTCGATGGTTCCCACTAGAATATTTGGTTTCGACAAAACATTTACGGCTATAAACATTGCAAGTGTAGATGTACCGAAGGTCATGTCGAATGGGATCAACTTGAAGGACTTGTGTTCTGGATTGAAACTATTCTGAGATCTGCTGATTAGAACTCCATCTGCTCTCTCGGAAAATTCCATTCTCAAGAATTGATTAACCCCAGAATAGATCATCAGCAAGCAGTCGTCTTCGTTTTTAGCAATTCTGACACGTGGAATGTAAAGTTTTGTGGAGTTCACAATATCCCGGTCGGCACGACATGTACTTCCCAAAGCGATTCTGAATAGGGTGTGTGAAAACTGAGAAGCCTAATTTGAGAATCACCTGCTCATTAAATCAAGCTTCTGCACCACTTTTTGTTTAGTTTCAGGGGAAAGGCAACTCCAGCCAGACATGTTTTTGATGTATTGTAGGAAAAGTTCTGATTTACTTTCAGGAAGAACCTGATGGATTTCCCACGTTTTCCACAAAACTAGGACAATTGAGGAGCCACGGTCTCCTGGTGAGATGGATAGGACCAAACTTTCAAAAAAAGTTCACGTTGAACTTAGAAAAATTCTAGAAGTCAAAGCCGTTCAAGGCCATGACTGGCCGTTAGAAAGCTCACACTCGGTCGGCAGCCACAGATATCGTTTCGTTTTTCCAATGAGTTTTTCCTCATTTTAGGATCGGATTTTTTAAATGTTTTCCTTCTTTTTTGTTTGAATCTGCATACTTTTTTTTGGACAAAATGAAGTACACATAATTCGGAGGGTACTAATATTTCGGGTACAAAATCCACTCGACGTTCAAACCTGAAAAATTTTTTTCCGTAATTAAAAACCACCCTATAGTTGCCTCATTCAAAACCTTTCCTAACTATTAGGTCGTTCGGAAAGTTTCTATCGTTTTTGGCATCAGAAACATTCTATATAAAAAGGTCAAAACTATGTCAGTTACATTGAAAGTGATGAATCTTGTTATCAATGACTTTCTGCCAACACCCCACCAGATTGTGAATGCTTTCCTTCTAAAACTCTGGTGACAGCAAACTGAGAATCCACTCAAGTCATTCTCTAGTAGACAACCATACCGTCTATATCCTATTTTTTAAATGACCAAATATACGCAAAATGACCCAGAAACCACTACGGTTGCTAAGCCACCGTATACTAATTGAAGTACCCTAATCAAAATGTGGAAAGTTCAAAACGGCTGGAAATTGGAAAAAATCCCAATAAATTCAAATCAAAAGTTTTGATCGGGAACTGGAAAACTCGAGCTCGGCCGCCAGCCACACACTGCGCCTTTTTAATTTCCGCCATTTCAGCATGGGATTTTTTGAATGTTTTTTTATTGTCATGTCAATCTACATACTTTTTAAATGAAAATATTCACCGCACACCACTTTTAAATCTGAAAAAAACTTTTAATCAGTTAGAGGTCAAACATTATCCCACTTCCTCTTTCTTTCATGTTTATAGCTGAGAAAATCAAAGTAATAATCCGTGGAGTTTTCCTACACTCAACTGCTAAGGCTTAAAAAGACGAGTGTATTGAGAATCAATTTGAGATCAAGCCAGGACCCGAAAAATATAAACTCATTTCTAAATAGTAAAATGTTTTTTTTTTGTATTTTTTCATTCCCCTCATTTATTGTAGTTTTCAATTTTTCAATAAACGTATTTTTAACCACTGTTTCAATCAAGTGCGATGAAAGCGAAAAACGAGGGGGGAGGGGACTATCGACTAAATATCCTACATTCGCGCATCAACTGCCCTACACATCCCCTGCAGTTGTGCAGCAATGTCGCAAGAGATGTGCAGTCTACTAACATCTCTTGCGTAAATGCTGCACATCTTCCGCCTGTTTATGCCGATAACCTACGAAATGTGTCGACATGAATATATAGGACTTTATGACTTCCAGAAGACTGGAGACTAATAACGATGGAATGAAATATGGATTGAGACAGACCGGCCCAAAAAATTACGAAATTTATGTGGGAATAATTCGAAAATAATTCATCTGAAAATTTGAATTTGAATCTAATAAACTTTTATGGCATGCAATTGGAAGAATTTTATGATTATACATAATTTCAAACGATTAAAGGTCACATCTCAATATCCCGTGCGCAGTCAACAAGAGAACATCCATACCTTGAAAGTTCATATTGTGATACAAATTTCAAGATAGGTTAATGATATCTCTGAAATTTTAAGATTACCTACAGTACTCGGAGGTTTCAGACAATCTATTCAGAATTGTGTTAAAGTTCAGAATTCAATTTTTCAAAGAAAATCATCTGAATAATTAAATTATGGTGTAAAGTTGTGGTCGCATCAGGGATGAAACAAATTGACGGTTTACAAAAGTTGAAAATTTTAGGAATTGATCTACACAAAGGGCAATAGAACAATTAATATTTTTTGATCTACCTAGCAAAGGAGGTCAATTTTTTGTATCTTCGAATTGATTTTCTGAAAAAAATTCTTTCTAAAAATATTCAAATTGTTTTTTAAAGTTTACCTTTATTTTTGTTGTCTAACCATCTCATTTTTCAGTCCCAAAATGGACAAAAAGCCTAACAAGTCTGCCAAAGAAGTAGAAGAAGGCAAGTCATCGCCGGCATTCAGAGAGACAATGATCAGTCGCATACAGAGAAGAGCTCGGAGTTTGGTGAGTTTTAAGAGGTGGGCTAAGTTCGATAATATTACCGTAATACCTGTATTAGAAGGGCCGGCCCTGCTATTGTCTCTAGGTACCACCAGAGGGCCCTTATATTACAGGAGCCCTTCAATTAAAGGGACCCTTCTGTTGTTCCAACCATTTTTTCCTAAATGTTTCGTAAAAAATTTTGGTGAGTTCTCTTTCGAAATTTATAAAAATTTATGAATTTTACTAATCTATGAAATTCGTCAGCAAAAAATAGTTTTTCAACAGATTTCTGTAAAATTTCGGATTTTTCAGAATGTTTTTAACTTAAAACGAACGAAAATTTTTAATTTTTTGGCACTTCGGGAATATTCCATTTTAACCCCCCCCCCCCCCCTTTTCATTCGGTTTTGACCTCCCCTGGAGAAGACGTTGGAAAAGCCCCCCACCAACAGGAATTCAAGATATCTACAGTACCCACCACATTTCATTATAACCACCCACCCTCATCAACTAAAAAATAGGCTTAGGCAAAAAAGGGCGGAAGTAAAAAAGATTCCAATAAAGACCCCCATCATTCCAATAGGTCACCCTACCTCGGATGGGGGGCTATAATATTGTTTTTACTTGGCTGAGTATTTAACGTACGCAGCCAAATTAAGACGAGAAAGTTCATTTTTATCTAGAAATTTTCATTCATACCTAAATTCAGTCGTTCGAATCGACCCCGACCTATTCCTAAGATTTCAATAAACCACCCCTCTATTCCTTTAATACCCCCCGTGTGATTGGCTAATTCGAGGTAAGCGTTTGGGTGGGGGGATGTGTCATAGTCTTCGTTTGGGGGGCCTTAATAAAATATATTGGGGGTCCAAAACCGAAGTTTGCCAAGGATTCCAATTAAACCCACCAAATCAACGGTGTTGGACGTATAACCGAATTTTCCCGGCACTTCTAAAAAGGGGACCCTTCTGATACAGGTTTTACGGTAATTTTCCTGATTTTCATTACTTAAAGGAGGCCAGACACCAAAAAAAAGTTTTCCTAATATTTTGCATAGAGAGGTTCAACTCCATGAGGGGTTGAACTCATGACAGGCAGCTCAGTGGTACAGCGCTGCTACCGGCTGAGCTACTGGTGCGCGAAGTCGCCTGACGACCGATGGTCTACATAAGCGCGGCGCGATTTCGTCCCCCGAACTGTCCCCCGAAATTTTTGCTGTCTCGCCTCCTTTAAAGTAGTACAAAACCAAAGACACATTTACAGGCTCACAGTGCTCCAGGAAGAGCCATCAACCGTCTTGCTCAAGATGTCCCAGGCATCCGTCTACTTGGAAGAGGACAGTCGGCTCCAGCTCCGGGAGAGAGGATTCCGGAACAAGTTGTTCATCCACTACCAAGTACAGAGATTGTTAGAGAAACGGTCATTTGTTTAGTTATTTTTAACTTTTTCAGGCGGTCTTTGATTTATTTGATCATCACAAATCATCCTGTCATTTTTTAAGGATTAATCTGAACCTTCCATGTTTCAGGCCCGACCTCGCCACCAGAAAAAGCGACTGGAAGCGGTTCGAAACTCGGTTTCACCGTCACCATCTCGATCACCACCAAAATGTGTCGACACTCCAGATGATCTCAAACCAAGAAGCTCCAATGAGTCCCCAAGAAAGAAATGAAGGGTAATTACGTATTCTTGTATCAATTCCGAATGTATTATGAACTTTTGTGATAATAGAAATTTGGCAACTATTAAATTGCATATCGAATATTAATAATTTATCTGGTTCACATAAATCAGGCAATTCTTATTCCTTTTGGCGGTCTATGAACCATGTGTTGGAAATCTGCAACTTGAAGGTGTACTTGGTTCCATCGGCATTTGTCACGAGCTGCTTAGAATCGAATGCCTTATCTAGTTGAGTGTTGTCCTCGCAGTTTGATGTTGGATACTGTAGGAAAAATTCAGTTTTAATGTTTTTCCAGAGACTCCAAACCTTAATATAAACTACCGCATTCCTCTGTGTAGTCTTTACGTAATAGCATCCATATTTTTCATAGGCTCTGCACATTTGGTTGTCGTTATCATAATCCACACTGATGCAATCTTTACGGACCATACACAAATTTTTGCAGTCATCCACCGTGCGTTGTCTTGCCCAATAGAACGCTGTACCGATATCATTTTCCATGTTCTGGTCTTTGTATTTCAGCATACAGTACTTATCGGCGATCTGGCTTCGTATAGTTTCCAAGAATGATAGGAATAGGAGAAAAAGAAATAGAGACTTCATTTTAGAAGTGTCGAAGTGGGGGAATAAGTGGAGAAAAGCATGTTTTATCTGGATGGTTGGGTCTCAGAAGTTATGGTTTCGTGGGAAAAATACACGAATTATGACTTCAAGACATCATCTTCGATAAGGAACTAAGACATCGATTCAATCTGACTCACAGTTTGTTTCACAGAAAACGAAACAGTTGGAGCAGTAATTCCTGAATGAAAAGGAACCTCTTCATCGTTCTTATCGACACTTTGGGATCAAAAAGTTCAAAATTTTCAGTAGTTTTCCCTGAAATTTTCAGAATATGCTCCTTTTTATTCTTTGCGTCGCGCTCAAAAATCCGACAGTACAGTGGAAAAAATACTAGTGAATATCCGATACTAAGTGAAACCGGAAAATCTGGAGACAAGCTTTTAGAGCCACTATAGTACCGCTCAAAAAGATATATATATGAAAAATATGGATGCTATTGAAAAAAAATATGGATGCCTATGAAAAATATGGATGCTATTACGTAAAGACTACACAGAGGAATGCGGTAGTTTATATTAAGGTTTGGAGTCTCTGGAAAAACATTAAAACTGAATTTTTCCTACAGTATCCAACATCAAACTGCGAGGACAACACTCAACTAGATAAGGCATTCGATTCTCAGCAGCTCGTGACAAATGCCGATGGAACCAAGTACATCTTCAAGTTGCAGATTTCCAACACATGGTTCATAGACCGCCAAAAGGAATAAGAATTGCCTGATTTATGTGAACCTGATAAATTATTAATATTCGATATGCAATTTAATAGTTGCCAAATTTCTATTATCACAAAAGTTCATAATACATTCGGAATTGATACAAGAATACGTAATTACCCTTCATTTCTTTCTTGGGGACTCATTGGAGCTTCTTGGTTTGAGATCATCTGGAGTGTCGACACATTTTGGTGGTGATCGAGATGGTGATGGTGAAACCGAGTTTCGAACCGCTTCTAGTCGCTTTTTCCGGTGGCGAGGTCGGGCCTGAAACATGGAAGGTTCAGATTAATCCTTAAAAAATGACAGGATGATTTGTGATGATCAAATAAATCAAAGACCGCCTGAAAAAGTTAAAAATAACTAAACAAATGACCGTTTCTCTAACAATCTCTGTACTTGGTAGTGGATGAACAACTTGTTCCGGAATCCTCTCTCCCGGAGCTGGAGCCGACTGTCCTCTTCCAAGTAGACGGATGCTTCGGACACCTTGAGCAAGATGGTTGATGGCTCTTCCTGGAGCACTGTGAGCCTGTAAATGTGTCTTTGGTTTTGTACTACTTTAAAGGAGGCGAAACAGCAAAAATTTCGGGGGACAGTTCGGGGGACGAAATCGCGCCGCGCTTATGTAGACCATCGGTCGTCAGGCGACTTCGCGCACCCGTAGCTCAGCGCTGTACCACTGAGCTGCCTGTCATGAGTTCAACCCCTCATGGGGGTTCTCTATGCAAAATATTAGGAAAACTTTTTTTTTTGGTGTCTGGCCTCCTTTAAGTAATGAAAATCAGGAAAATTACCGTAAACCCTGTATCAGAAGGGTCCCCTTTTTAGAAGTGCCGGAAAAATTCGGTTATACGTCCAACACCGTTGATTTGGGAGGTTTAATTGGAATCCTTGGCAAACTTCGGTTTTGGCCCCCCAATATATTTTATTAAGGCCCCCCAAACGAAGACTATGACACATCCCCCACCCAAACGCTTACCTCGAATTAGCCAATCACACGGAGGGTCTTAAAGGAATAGAGGGGCGAACGGATCCGTTACAGACGCTCAGCGTTCGCGCGCGGTTGAAATAGGAACCGCATACGGACCGCACGCGACCTGTTTTCAGAAAACCACAGCACATTATTTCGTATTCCTCCGTATTCTGTCCGTTCGCGAACTCCGTATCTGATCCGCTTGCGAATGATAAACAAACGGATCCGTTCGTGAACTTAAACTTTTGTCTGAACCGCGCGCGAACGCTGAGCTCCCGTAACAGATTGTTCGCGAATCACCTGTGTGTAATAGAAGGCCCCTCCAAAAAGTCCCAGGAACAATAGAAGGGCCGGCCCTTCTAATACAGGTTAAATCCGTTTCTTTTTTACTTTGAAACAAAAATATTACTGATTCAAATCTTCGATCTCGCTAGAGTTTCAAATAATACTTTTCGATGTCTTCCGGAGATAACTTCAATATTTGATCTCAATTCCAGAATTTTTCCTTTTCATCGTACCCATTCATGCAAAATATGAAAAAATCGAACAATCAAAAAAAGCATGAAACATGTATAAAATGTGTAAGGCCTACGTCATGAATCGAGATCAATATCTCATTTTTTCAACTATACAAACGATTCCTTGTTTTCATTTTTTGTCCAAGCTACATGTATTAGGTTGGCGGGAAAGTCTTTGTCACTTTTTCAATAGTTTATTTCTCAAAGAAAAAATAACCGAATAATTAATTATATTGTCCATCATTATCAACAACATGTCTCCAACGTTCCCTCAATTTATGGATTCCATTGCGGTAGAATCCAGCCGGGCGTGAGGCAAAGTATTGTTTGAGTGCCGCTTCGACCGCTCCACGGGAATTGAAGCTTCTTCCTTCGAAGGCACGTGTCATATCGCCAAATAACCAATAGTCGGAAGGAGCAAGATCAGGAGAATACGGGGGGTGAGGGAGAACATTCCATCCATATCCCATCAGCTCCTGCTTCACTTGTTTCGAAACATGTGGGCGAGCGTTATCATGTTGATAGTACACTTTCTTGTCTTTCAGGGCCGAACGGTCGACTGCTTTCTTGAGGTTTCGTAGTTGAGTAGTGTAGAGGTCTCCAGTTATTGTTTTGCCCTCGGGCAGAAGTTCCCAGTAGATGGGGCCGTCCACTCCCCACCACACAGAGAGCATAACTTTTTTCGGATAAAGGTCGGGTTTGGGGACATCCTGTGGGCTCTCTCATTGTCCAACCCACTGGGATTTCCTGTGGTGATTATCGTAGAAGACCCACTTCTCATCTCCGGTTATTAGCCGGTCCAGCCATCGATCGCCCGCGTGGAGAGTGAGAAGAGTAATCGAATCGTCGACTCGGCGGTCAAGGTTGGCTTGAGTCAGGTGATGAGGTATGAATCGACCAAAAAGTTTTCTCATTCCAAGAGACTTCAAACCTTCAAGGACTGTGCTATGGTGAACTCCGAATGTGACAGCTAGTTCACGGCTAGATTGAAATGGATCCGATTGCAATGCGTGCTTCAGCTTGTCCAAATCCAACTCACGGGGTCTCCCAGAGCGATCCTTTTCATCGAGCGAGAAGTCATCTTTTTCGAAACGATGGAACCAATTGCGAATAGTATTGTAGTGAGGGGCATGTGTGTTGTACACATTCTTCAAGAAAGTTTCCGAATCCTTCATCGTGGTGTGAGATAGGAAGAGGTAAATCAAAACATGTCTGATGTGAATTGCAGTGGGAACAAACATATCGTTTCAATTACAGATGAGGAGCAGGGAAGGAAATGGGGACTTGTTTATATGGAAGGTTCTTATCACCTTGTTATTCACTAGAGTCGATATCATACACAGCCTCCATATACGAGAACAGTGATTAAACAAACAGAGTGACAAAGACTTTCCCGCCAACCTAAATAGAAATATCGGCTAAAGATTAAACTTTTGCCCTCCCCCTCCTCCTCCAGACCATGCTAAACACAAAAATGATGTCCCTCCCAATCTGAAAGTGTCCCCCCGGCATTTCGCTTTTCTTCCGTTTTTCATTCGAAATCCAATACACTCTCCACCCCCATTTCCCTTATCTGAAGCGAGGGTGTGGAAACAAATGAATTCATGGAAATACGACGGATCTCTTATCCATAGATCTCAGAAAATGCCTTCACTTCTGAAGAAATCCACGAGAAATAAAGTTCAGCGATACTTGAAATGCTTATTGGTATTCCTGTTTTTTATGGCCTCTTACAAATTTTATACAGTTTATTTGGTGAGTTTTGGGGCCCGGGGTCTTATTTGGGTCATTTGGTTTTTTTATACTTGAAAAAATTCGATATAAACATTTGAAATCAATCGGTACGTTGAATATTTTTGCTCGGAATTTTTTTTTGATTTTCTGAAGCCGCAGCTGGCAGCGGACGGCCGTAGCACATCCTTGAGGATTCCAAATCATTTCCTATTCAGAACAAAGTCTAGTATTATTTTTTTTTTATGTTTGTGAATTTTTCAAAAATTCTGAACGATCTTAATGAATTTTCTAGAAATTCTAGAAGCATAGACAATAAGTTGGACCTGAAAAGCAAAATTTACGAATTTTCGAATTTCAGTTTTCGAAAATTGGAAAAAAAATTTAGAATCTATCTAGAAAATGTTTTCATGATCTGTATAACATTTGAAAAATTCATTTATTAGAAGAGAGTCAAAAGTGCAGTAAGCTAAACATTTTTTAGTTTCATTTAATTTTATTCAATTCTTAAATTTTCCAAAATGGGAATTACCAAACTCATAGTTTTTGAGTTTGGCATACACCTATGAAATTTTCGAGCCAATTATTTCGGTTCCTGTAACAAATGTCAAAATATGGTCAATTGATAAAATTTTTATCATAATATCAAAAATATTTTATCAGTCGATCACTTTTTGATATCATTGACAGCAACCGAGATATATGGGCTCAGAGTTAAATGTTAGCGGATACATTCTATCAGATTGTTTACGCTAGTTTCATCGGAAGTGCTAATTTTCGCCTCACCTAAAAAATGAAACTTCAAATTCAAATTCAAATTCAAAATTTTTTTCTCGAAATTTTGATGAACAGCAATAAAAACCCAAAAATCGGTGCCTTAATTTTATTACGTATGTCAATTTCCCACTAATTTTTCCCTTCTCGATTCAAATCTATACGATTCTCGATGCCCAATTTGATGTTTTTCTGTCTTTCAGGAAGATCTCAGGGAAGAATCTGCAGATGAGGACGATTTACAGACGGTTTTTTTGTCTGAAAACAAAGTGCAAGTCTACAAAAAATGGTTGAATTGTGCGAAATGGAATTTGTTAGTGATAGAGGACCCAGTGCAGGTTGGTTGCTCTTACCATAAATATTCTAATAGAAAAACACACGAACCGCTAAATTTGAGCTTATATATCTCGGTTCCTGCAGAAATTTCGGAAAGTGATCAACTGAAAAATATTTGTTTTATTATGATAAACACTTTATCCGTTGACCACTTTTTGATAACTTTCAGAGGAAACGAGATATACACGCTCAAAGTTTGGAAACCGCTCTAGCTTCGCCCGCGTGGCTCAGTCTACTCGTCCCACAAGTTTAATTTCTTGAGAGGCTTATTTCGATACAGTTATTTTTTTCATGTCTTCTCACCTTAAAAGTATATAGAATGGCATATTTTCGATACCCAACCTATTTTTCAAAATTTCAGTTCTGGACACAATTCACAAGAGTCACAAAAAAGTGTGACGAGGAGGCCGAAATCGACAAATTGGGTCTCATCACACTAAAAAACAAAGACGAGGATAAAATTGGCATTTTGCCAAGGAATGTGAGTTTTTAGTTTTGGGGATCAAAACACAGTCTGCCTGCCCTCTACGTGGAATTTTCTTTTCTTTTGATCATGTTCCGGGTAATCCAGGGTGTGTATCTGTTTGTAGATGTACTGGCCGGATAGCAATGCTACATATATCTTTGATTTCAATCTTCTTATTTTTTTCATTTTGCGGGCTTTGCATAGATTTATCTGTAAGCCACGTGGGGTTGCCAGGGTACATAATCGGTTAGAGGTAACATCAATTGAAATATTTGAAGATCAAGAAATGGGTACATCTCTAATTCGAGTAATTAGGGCCGAGTTCGTGAAAATTTCCTCATAAAGATCGAAGGATTAAATTCAGGTTTTTGGCTTGTTTGCGTCTTCATGCAGATTCGTCACAGTCCTTTCCTGTTCCGCCCGTCATTTTTCGAATAGAAAAAAAGATCAAGAAGGAAAAAAGGAACGACAAATATAGATTTTTGAAAAAAGGGAAATGTGGAAAATATTTGAAAGCCTAGGAAAAATAACTACCATAACAACAGTTAAAAAACTTTATTTGAACAGAGTTTTGAAATTTTCAATTTTGTAAGAATGGTTGCTTCGTTTTTTCCAGACCCAATAGTTTTTTGGTTGCGTTTTTAAGTTTCCTGTGTTTCTCAAATTTTCATCAAAGATACCATGAAGAATACGTTTCCTAAACCAAACTTGCTAAATGTCAAAGATCAAACTCGAGACACAACCAGAACCACCACCAGAAGGAACCGAAGGATCACCACCATGAAAACAGAAGGACTACCACTAAAAACCAGAAGGACTACCAGAAGGACAAACGACCAACTAGGACAAAACCGGGACGATTGCAACAAAGAAACAGAACTCTCGAGACACCGAAAAAAGACCCGGACGACAAAGAGATAACGAAACACCGGAAACCGATGAAAAGACGTGGGCAAGAAAAGCAATGAAAAAAAAAAGACAAAAAAGAAAGTTCACGAAGTTCCAATGACCGTGTCGAATCCTGTTGCCTGCCGCCGATTCCACATCATTTGTCCCTTGACATTTGAAATCTGAAATTTTGACAATTAATTTTTGGCAACTTTCATTTTGGTTACCTCATCGAGTTCGCATCAAAGTTTCTGAAATCCTTTCTCCGCTAACGTGAACGGCGTGCCTGTCGGACATCCTGAAATTACAATATTCAAAAAATTTTTTTTGAAATTGCCTATAATTTCGGAAATGTTTGATCATTTTTCAAAAATGGCGCTATATGAGTTGAGGGGTGCCACTGAAATTTTTGATTTTCTCGCGGTTTTTAACTTTATGCGTGACATTTTTCTACTTTTTGAGAAAAAATTTACAACAAAACCTTTAGGAAGTTCTAACCAGATAAAATTTCGAAATTTTACTGATTCCCATTTTGTTACCTTGTATTTCGCCTGTCATCTGATTTCCAATCCTGCCCATCCTGGAAGTGACCATTGAGGCTATCCTCGGCTTGGAAGTGTCCGCACCCCGAAAACCAAGCAGCTCCTGGAACTTTAACTTTGAAAACTAAATACATCTAAATTCCTATTTCCTCACCTTTCGTCACTCCTATCGTCTGAAATCCAATCCTGTTGACCGCCGAAACTGCCCTGTCTTCAAAATCTTCGAAGTTGTTCCACCCGGAACGCCAAGCAGCTTCTGGAACACTAATATTGAAAACTAAAAACTCAATATCCCCTTAGCTTAGCTACTCCTGTCGTCTTGATTTGAATTCCGCCGATGCTCGAAACTGTCCTGGTAGCCGTCTGCATCCCGAACGCCAAGCAGCCCCTAAAACTTTACCTTTGGAAACTAAAAATCAGTTTTTTCTTACCTTTCTACTCTACTCCCATCACTTTGATTCGAAGCCGATCCTGGAAATCGCCCTCGAAGTTGTCGTCGACGTCTTCGAAGTCGGGGTGGGGGATCTGGGAATATGATAAGCCCCTAAACTTGACCGTTGCAAACTAAGTACTGATATTTCCTTATTTTTTTACTACTGGACATTGTCCCCATTTTATTAGGCTTTCACGAAGGTCACAATAAACTTACTTTTTTGAGTTCACGAAGAATATGAGATACCGTAAAACATGTATAAGAAAGGCCCTCTAACTTTAAATTTTGCGCAAATTTTTCTCGGTTCCTGTTAAAGGTTCAAAAGGTTTTTAACTAATAAACTGCTTATCATATAGCAACCTTTTATTAGTTGACAAATTTTCTAGCTGCGCCGCTCTAGCTTCGCCACTGTAGCTCAGCCGGTAGCAGCGGCGCACCTCCAACGGTGGGCCCACAAGTTCAACCCCTCGAGGGGCAAAATTTGGAGAAAACTTTTTTAAAAAATATGTTTTAATTCCAGAACGACGAAAAGCACACATTTATCACTCTTGGCATCGGCAGAGATATCACTGGAGAGCAACGATGGAAGAGGGTAAACATTTGCGCCTGCTTTTTATAACAAAATCTCCATAAATTCAGAAAATGGAAAAGTTGGGAAAAACCGTAGAGTTCTATGGTGCTGATCCAATGACAGAAATAAATGAAGAGTTGTATCCTCAAATTGGAAAATATTTCCCATTCGCCGTTTCCAGAACTCCCGGATATGCAACTGCGAGTGTTCTCAAAAATCGTTGGTTTTATTTTTAAATTTCAAATTATTAAGAATGCGAAAATTCCAGGACAGTATATAAACCAAAGTGTGGTCCATGTAGATATCATGTATTTCGTGGATAAGTTGTTGAAGATTAATGTGAGTTTTTCTTCTTTTTTTCTATAACACAATTGCGGAGGTTTCCAGAAAATCGATAATTTATGGATGGATGCAGAAGGTGCCGAATACGATATGTTTGAAATTTTTATGAAAAACGGTAGTTTTGCTCAGAATGGTATTGATGTATGCCAAATCAACATTGAGGTAAGGTTTCTACCGTAAACTCACCCGCATCGTCAACTTTGAGCTCAATTATCTCGATCCCTATGAAAGATATCAAAAAATAATCAACTAAAAAATGTTTATCATAATATCAAAAAAAAAATCATCAGTTGACCACTTTCTGATATCTTTAACAGGAATCGAGGTAATTGAGCTCAAACTTGACAAATTTTTAACGAAACTGTTTCTAACTGTAAAAATTTTTGTAGGTCCATCTCTCAGAAACCGGGCCGAACCATTTGAATTACGAGAGGTTCATGAAATTTGTAAAACAATTGATTCGAGAAGAACAATTTGCAATTTTCAAAACAGAAGAAGTGATACATATGAGGATGTATATGTTCAATTTTGCAAGCAGTTTTTGTAGGCATAAATATTGAGATTCTACTATTAATTCTAGAAATAAAGATGTTTCTTATTATTTGTAGTAATCCACAATTTTTGTTCTTGGTTCTCAAAAAGTTTCGTAAACATGAAACTTTAGTGTTTTCCTATCTCTGACCCAGATCAGATCATCCCCTTTCTTATCACTTCCTTGTTTCACAGAACAACTGACGCCAAAGAGATCTCGAATCATTATAACTTTCGGTTTCCCAAACCATTATTCTAGTTCCAACTCGTGGAGAATGCTCCTTCCAATTATTCTTCTTATTTCTACAGTTTCCTTGGCTGAAGCCGGAAAGTTTACTCCAAACAAATATGAACTCGAGTTGACTCCCGAGTTCTTTGGAGAGTAAGTTTCACATTTTTTAGATACCGTAAAACCTCTAATAGTAGAGCATCCACACTATCAAGTTTGACCCCTCAATTCTCTCACTTCCTAAGCAAGATATCGAAATTTGTCACCTGACAAAACACTTCTGATATTATGATAAACATTTTATCAGTTGGCAACCTATTCATATCCTTGACAAGAACCGAAAAAAGTTGGCTCAAAATTGAAAGTTAGAGGCCCTTCTATTAGAGGTTTTACGGTTACGGTACTAAATTTTTAACCTTTTAGTAACTCTTTCACCGGAAAAACCAAGATCCATGTGGATGTTACCGGGTCAGTCGAGGAATTTGATCTACAAGTTTCAAAGGATTTGGAGGTGAAGAAAGTCACTTTCTGGGCAGCCAATTGATTCAATGCAAAATTCGATCCAAATTGTAAGTAATCTCTGATAATGAAGGGATTCCCCATAAAAATAATAAATCAAATTATAGTGAAAGAAATCACTGCTACATTCAAGAAAGATGGCGACAAGATTCATGTTACTTTACCTGCCCCAATCACTAAGGCAAGTATCACAATGAAGGGATTCATTGAAATTGCTTACAAGGGAAAAGCCGGAAAGAAAGGTGCCAACAAGGGATTATTCCTGACCAATGATAACGATTATGTGACTGATTTGAAGGTACATTAAAAGACAGACAAAATTTGATTTGAATTTGAAATTTTTAATGCAGTAAAACCTATAACAGAAAAGCCCCCGCACTATCAAGTTTGAGCTAGTTTATCTAGGTTCCTGTAACTGATATCCAAAGTGTGGCAACTGATGAATTGTTGATAATAATATGATACACATTTTGTCAGGCGACAGATTTTTTATGGCAAAAAATTCGGCGGTACAAGAGGAAACAAAGTGATTTCGGGGTACAAGTTCCATCATTCGGGGTACAAAATTTTTTAGTAAGTTGGATTTTCGTACTGCTAAAATTGAAATTTTGGCATCAAATAAGCTGCAATTTTATTTAGGCCAAAAATGTTAACTCAACGGTAGGAAAAATTCAATTTACACAGACATTTTGTACGCCGGAATCACTAATTTTGTAACCCTGAACCAGTTGTACCCCGTTTTACCCCTGATTTTTGGCCATTTTTTATATCTCCATTTTCCCTGGTCTTCTCTTTGTTACACTCTTCTTATCTATTCTTCCGCACGACCTTTCTCATTCTCCTTATTTTCGTTATTGGCTCTTTGATGATTAGTGCTAGCTCCTATCGCTGCGCCCTTCGTCAGGTGGTGGTAGATTCTTGATTGATTACTTGTAGTCTTCTGGAGCTTCTGGACCTTGGTCGGTCACGACAAACTCGGTCAAACGTAAAAGTTAGGGGCCCTTCTAACACACGTTTTTCGGTATTGTATTTTGTCGCGTGTTGATTTCAAGGAACCACCATGAAAATATATGTTTCAGAACGGAAACGCAATCCACTTGTTCCCCATTCTTGAAGACGTTGCTGTTCCATTGGCTCTTTTCATCATCACCCCTCGTCGTGCTGTCGTTGAGATGGAACTAATGAATGGGTCGAATCTTATGGGGGAACATAGAAATGTTGAAGGAAATTAACTCTTCTCAAACTACTTCCATAGTGGAAGTCGTAAAATCCAAACTTCGAGTCTGCAATTCAAGATCAAGGCTCCAACTGCTTGATGACTTTTTTTTTAATTCTGAATGAAATAATAAACTTAGCTACATAATATTAATACAAATACTTTTTTGAGTTTATGAATGAATAAAGTCATACTTTCCTGTTTTCAAGCTATTGTAAACTCGCTTTCAACGTTGAGCCAATTTATATCGGTTCCTGTGAGAGATATCAAACATGTGACAACTGATAAAATGTTTGCTATATGGACATTGTATCAGTTGAACACTTTTTGATACCTTTCACAGGAAAGGAGATGGATCGGCTCAAAGTTACTGTAGGCCTGCAAGACTGAAAATTATCAACCTGTCTATTTTGTTTTTGCTGATGCAACAAAAAACCAAAAACTAACCTCTGACTCAGATTGTTTACAGGTATTTCCTTTCCAATCTGTCTCTCATTTTTCTCCCCGATAATTCTTCCCAAACCAGTTCCTCGTCTATTACCCCGTAAACCACATCTCTCACACTTCGTTCTTCTTCCTTGCAATTTCCCATTTTGTCGAATTTCAATGTCTGAACTTATTACCACCTATCGTCCCACCAAAATTCTCCTAGAACTTGACCCTGATCTTCCTAATTCAACCTATCGAGGAAGAGTAAAAATCGATTATGAGTTCACCGATGAGACGTCGGAAATCAAGATTCAAGCTTCTCGCGATTTTCAGTGGACCTCTGTGAGATTGGCAACTTTTTATGAACTCAACGAGGGGTATCCAGTTTGTAAGTCTATTTGAGTACCTTTAATAGAAAACTTGTAATTGTTTTCAGATGCCAGTGTAGACAGTGAGGATTACAATCATGACACTGAATTGGAAATCCTAACCATCCCACTAGGAGCTTCTCTGAACCCGGAGAACACTCAAAATGGGTTTTACATTAATCTGGAATGGAACGGGCCCATTGGTGGACCAGGAGCATCTGAGGGGTTGTATGCTGTGGACGAGAGTACAATGGAGGCAAATTTGAAAGATGGGAATGCGCATAAGGTTTTCCCATGTTATGAAGGTGGAGTTTCAGCGAAGACCTGGTTAACATTGATTACTGACGAGCGGACTAGAGTGGAGACTAATATGGTGAGTCTTCTAGATTAAATGAGACTAACTATCTCGGTCCTAGAAAGAGATATTCTTACGTTACCAGCTGTTAAACTTTGTGGAGTACAGGGTGGCGGAAAATCACCCGGACTGCTAGAATCGGGTATATCTTTAGAAATAAATATCTTGAATGCAGAAAAATCGGTAGAATCGTAATTTTATATTTGATTCAAGACTACTGAAAATTTCAAAGCGATTCCTCAAGTGTAAGTATGGTTATGGTTTTCAAAGATGAACAGCGTCATGTTCATGAGATAAAGCAACTTTGACAAGCGATGACTCATCTCAAAGTAGATCAAATTATTTGAAACTTGCCCAGTTTACTGATGAAACATTTTAATTTTCGCACTCCACATTTAAGTCCAGGACAACGCTTTACTAATGTTTTATGTTAGAACAAACCTGTAGTTCTTTTTTTTTCCAGGATGACGCTGGGCATGAAGAATTCGAAGGAAAAGTCAAAAACAATTTCAACAAAGCAGAAGACCTTACAATCGAAGATGTCTACATCCGAATCACCCCGATAATTGACATGGAGTAATAAAATATATGACTCCATTTGTTTCTTCAAGAATAAAAAAGTTGATCTGAATTCTTCGATTTATTTTACTAGTCCTACATAACATTAAAAATGGGATCAAGTACTTGGACTCATGCAAAATGTAGGCGTGTGCTCAATTAGTCAAGTCTTATGGGATTCTGTTGATACCTAGATTTGGTTTGCGTTACTTGCTGATTTTGAGGTGTTAGTATATTTTTCGGGTTTTGCTTGAGGAGGAAAAACATTTGATTTTGTGAGTCAAGAAAAATTATTGGGTTATTTTTTATATTATTTTTTTGGTTGGTAAATTCTGTTATTAGACGTTCAGCTGAGTATCTCAGTGTTCAATGAATTTTGATCGATTCCATATTCCGCCACGTAAGTTTTGGGAAGTCTCTTGGATCTTTTGGTAAAGAATACCGTAACACCGGCCCACGGTCCAAGGGTGCATCGAAAAAGGGTACATCGAGGGTACATCGAGCTCTTAGGGTACATTGGTTCTG